GCACGCGGAATTCTCTACAACCATGTATATGTTCGTTTTGAATTGCGTTTGTTCAATTATTATAAATTCAAGTAGAGTGAAAGTATCCTTATTGTCATAGTCTCTGAAAATGAATTGTTTGTTTCTTTCTCCGTATTTTACCAGCCTGGCCTTTCAATTTTTTGATGATAAGCATTTCAAATACTATTAAGATGCTCTCACTCCCCATTACTCCACATGACTCATACAGCAGCACACGAGTGTTTATCTAGTAATCAAATCAGCTGTATGGATCACTAGTCATCTGTCTGTCTGACCTTAATGTTTTCCGGATTTTTTTGTTTTTAATGAACCACGGCGCAGAAAGATATTGTTCAAATTCTCAACGACACTTGACATAGGAATGTGATGTGTGAGTGTCGAAACAGTATTCAAAATATTTATCATCAAACAATCAAATATCAAAAACTTGTAAAACTAGAGGATAATAGAGAATTTCATGCACTTTCAGAAGATATGCTTACTTTAGTAATGGTTTATTCTTGTATTCAAATAAATTTGAAAAAATGAATGAAGGAGAAACAAACAATGCATTTTCTGAGACTGTAACAATGAGGGTGCCTTCACTGTACTTGAATTTTCTATTTTAGCGAGCAAGTGAAATTCAAAACGTACGTATGTACGATCATAGAGATTTCCGCGTGTTATCCGAATATATAATTACTTTCCTCAAAACATTGATTTTATAGTAATGATATATTCAAAATATTGAGTTTAACTATGCTTTTCAAGAAAAATATCTGGACAGACTGGAAAAACGATGCCTTTCTTGAAATTCGAACCGCGCATCTTCTGCTACTCGGACAAATGTCTTAAGCTAATTAGACTAGAAAGAATATCTCAATCTTCGTTTAGTGTCTGAGCCTTTCGCCACCGACGTTAACACTTGCTTGGTTTCTTACAGACTGGTAATAAAAATCTTAACCATTTTTGGATCGTTTTCTAGCTTGACCATTTTGCCACGTGTTATTTTATGTTTCACATAAGAGAACGGTCGATTTCCTTCAGAATAAAATACCATGGAGGAAGGACCAACTAATATTACCTACAAAACTAACTGAAAGCAGTTATCTCATTGAAACGTTTCCTGAAGAACGGTTTCAGTTACTAATTTGGTGTTCAAATCGATACTATAATGCATATGATAGAAGAAAAATAGGCACAGTATTTGGAAAATTTTTCTCGTGTCAGTGTCAATGCACATAAGAATTAAAGTGCGTAAGGTGGCCATCTCCGAGGAAATAGATGAAAAATACGTACTAATCAAGTCTGAAAGTTTATATTCCTACAGAAAAGACATGATATTCCATATCAATTGTATTCATCATGAGATTTTGCCATATTTTTGATGGAGCCATTTTCGTAGACAATACCAACAATTATTTGATCGAACAACGTCATATTGCTGTGCTATGGACCTCATTTTTCCACAACTCGTTCCTTATGAAAAGAATCTGAGGAAAAGTAAAACTGTTGATGTCGAACAAGGTTTGAAAGAGTCGCTAAATACTAAAATTTGTTTCTCCTGATGTCTACTAGAGAGAAATTTTTAATGTTTTAAGCTCTTGAGCTCAAAGTATTCACATTTTTATTTCTGTCATGAAATAAATTAAAACAAATAAAGAGCAGCTGAGTTCAAAGTGACTATTAAAACACGCAGATAATACAATCTTTTAATGAACACTATAAAAACGGAGGATGTGGGTGTGTGGCTGTGAGTGTGGCAAGGGGAAACAGCGGGCTTTGGGACTTGAAGTTACTTGAGCTACTTTAAGCTACTTCACGTACTTTATTTCCACGTACTTCTCAACTTCCCATTTACTTGAAGTTATCTCAAGTTACTTGCTCTAACTTTGTGCTACTTGACTGATACTTTAAGCTAATTCAAGTAGTATACTTTGACGTACTTTTGCACTTCAAGTCCGCAGTTTTCTCCTTGCGGTGTGGGTGTGGGTTTTTATATCTTTTTGATCCACTCCTATACCCACACGCACACCCACACCCACACCCACACCCACACCCACACCGACCTGTTAAAACCAGTATGAAATTTTTTATTAAAAAAAATTTTCTTTACCATATTATCTTTTGTTAAATGATAATCATTGTATAGAAGATAATAATGGGTACTTATGAAGAGAACATCGAGAATATTTTCAATAAAATCTCGATGATTCTTTATAAACGTATTTAAATCACTCATTTATTATCTTAAAAAGGAAAATAGGCATCATCGATTTACACGAAGCGAAAAATAAAAGAAATGAATTATTCTTTTATTTAACTGACGAGTATATCTATAATCACAAGTCTATATATACGGAGAAGATTTTCTTCCGTTTCTTTTTCATTGTTTTTTCTAACCCACGATGTCAACGTCCACTGATACAAAGTAAAGTATGAAGAAAAGCAAACCAATGTCGGTTGTCGAAACAAATAACGAAGAAAATATAGACAAAATAATTATTCGAAGGCTTAGTCATTTGTAATGGTACTTTTGATCGAAAATAGTTCTTAGATAACGTTAGAGTTATCATAAGTCAATATAAAATGATGTTCTATAGGATTTAATCACAAGACATTAATTTAAATCGCATGTCAAAGGTTATGCACTTCAAGAGATATTGTGAAGTGTTGACTCGATACATGAATCAAAAATTTACCTTCTATACAATTAAAAATTGGTTTCCTGAAAAAGATTATAGCAGAAGTAAACCTTTGATGCCTTAAACTTTCAGTGTCTCATTGCAAAGACGACAAGAGAATAATTGGTAGATTTGGAGAAAATAATAAAAATTACGTTTTGATTGATGTAGTGCTCAGAATTCGTTCATGATGATACAAACTCTAAGAAAGTATTGAAATAGAATTTTAAATTAGATGATACTATCGGTTTTTGTTATTAATGAAAGATGAGAAAAAGTTTGATTACATCATTGATGTCAAACCCATTTTTAATTAGATAAACTTTATCATATTTGAATAAAATAGATCGTTTTGAATTAACATTTTGTTTGTATTCTATTTATATAAGGTGGAAATTCCAAATCCTAATTTTAGATTAATAAAATTTCAATTGTTCAAACTTCGTTATATTCACATTAAGGGCTGCTATATTTCATTATATGCGTATATATATGAAATAAAACTCAAAAAAATATTCGAGTGCTATTGATAATCATTTCAAATTTCCCTTGAATACAACAATCTTGTACTTGAGAACCTTTTTTTACATAGAATTATTTCTTATAGAACTTCAAGACCAATTTTATTTTAAATTCCGATATTTATTAAACCGTTCAGGAAACAAGATAAAATATTTCCACGAAAAAATGCTATTTTGAGTTATGACACTTTTTTTATGAGATTACTTTATTTGAGAGAAAAAAAGTTATTTTAATTTTTCTAACATTACAAGTGAACATGCATGACGTTGAATAAAAACAAAAGAGTTGATAGGCAGACAACAATAATATTGTATCTCTCAATAGTCAGTTGATATCTGAAAAAATACTTTTCACTTTATGTCTTCATCTCTATCCGTCATACACGATCAATGCTTAAACTAGGTCATCATAAATACCCCTAGTGAATGTACTCATCCAGAGAGTACAACTTGCCAGCATGAGTACTCAGATTACTCGAGCGAGTACTCTAAAAAATTCACGAGTATGTAAAATGATTGAGTACTCACATACGTACTCAGACGAATATTTCACTATACATCTACTCATAGGCAAGACGCTAAGTACTCATTGTAGTACTCGTCGCCTTTTTTTCTGAAACGACTCAATATACAGAACGNCACCGCTGTCACCACTGTAAGATACTGCACCACCAAAGTGTGGATAATTTAAAAAAGGCAATGAGTTACTGTTATACAGTATCTGACTATTATAGTTTATTTTCTTAAAGTGAAAAAGTTATAACAAACAACAAAAAAAGAAAAACGACGACATATCATATATCGAGTGGAAAGACAACAGGAATGACAATAGAGGTCAGGTCCTGACAAGACTGAAAGCGAACTGAACTCGAATTAACTTTTCGAGAAGCGATTAAATATAAGCAGACAGAAGAAAAATAATTGATTGAACTATCATTTTTGTATAATTGTTGATGCCATGGATAGTGATCAGAACAACGTTTGAACGATTACTTTACATCAAAGATCGAAAATGAAGCAAACTCGAACCAGTACAACTCAGTTCGATTCGATTTCTGAACTTTAATGAGCTGGTGGGTATAGATGTGGTTGACTGAGGGTGAATATATGAGTGAATGTATGTCGTTAATTCATCAACATACCATCACTCACATTCTTCTTGGAGTGTTGAGAAAGAAACAGGAAAGCTTGAATCAATTGATTTTTATGTAGAATTTGTAAATTCTCTCGTAAAATCTTAGGAAAGATAGCTTTATTTTTTGTCAGCACATTATCTACTAATATATTTCTCATAAAAACCAAACATTAATATGGTCCAGACAGCGCTTATAGAACTCTTTACACTTGGTAAGCACAGATTGTGTTGTACAAACATAATTCTTATTAGAGTTATTCTGTGCTTTATAGAATTTCGATCAAAGACTGTGCAAATATTACAGAATTGCAAGTTCTCATGCGATTGGCGACAAAAATCAATGCTAAAATGTATTAATATTGTGCTCCATGATTTGCCAAAATCTTCGTAATACCCTTGTTACATCGACTTGTGCAATAACACAAAATGCATAACACGTGCAGAGCTGTAGAGTACTATACTGATAGCATTTGCCTACTCCTATTTTTCTCTTTCTTTCTTTTCGACAAACATCGTGTAACCGCATTAGTCATCCAGAACAGTTTGCCTGTAATTATACACGATAGCATTGAAAACAAGTCACATCAAGTATTTGTATTTTTGTTTTCTATTTAATGTGAGATTATGAACAAAAATTTAGACACTAGTGATTCATTTCAGATGAAACAAACTAGTTTATCGACTTCATTTTTCTCACCATTTAATGGTAAAACGATTGTACTCGAGCTTGGTCGTAAAATTGGCTTCAAAGCTAAACAAGAATTGATCAACTATTTACGAGAACAACAAGCACATATTTCATATATTCTTACAGCTAGTGTACATTTTTCGTTTTCTTTTAATTCACAAGCATCCTATTAAAGTTATTTTTTTCTTAGACTGATTACGTTTTGGTTACAAATGATGTAGATAGTTACAAGACACGTCGTGCCAAACAGTTCGGGTTGCCATTGGTCAATGTTGAATATGTATACGAATATCGTCGTTTGTCACCAGGACAAACACCAATCGATATGGACAAATTTATCATCAAGTCAACTGAAGTCCAAGAAACTTTTGCAAACACCGGCACTATTTCTGTTGCAGGTATTTCAAGATTTTCTTTAAAAATCATGTCAGACATACTTGTTCGCTAGGATCTCGAGTAAATGTGATCAAAATCAATAAATTTGATTTGACTAAAATTAAACTTTGGAATTCAGACGATGCTGATTTACCTCGTTTTGATGAATTAGCACATGGTGAAATTGGCAAATGGGCCATTTTCAAAGTACCGTTCTATTGATTTGTGACAATTATTCTCTTATTATTTTCTACTGTTTTTAACAGGAAACTAACGACAAGTCGGACGTATTTTTTGCTCTTGAACTTCAAGTTATTCCTGAACAATACTACGATCGAGCGACGAGCGATTATCGACTAAGATTTCGATATGAAAAACAAACTATTAGTAGTGAAGAGCAAAAACAAGATAAAAAAGTATTAATCCACTATGCATTCAGTGATAATTCAAATGAACAACAACAATTATTTGCTTCGTACTATTATCGAATAGGTACAATGCCACGTGTAACTCGAATTCGTGAAATGTTACCTGATAAATTAGGATCGAAATTATTATTACGCGTAAGTAAATAATATTGACAAAGAGAATTAATTTTTCAAATCAATCAAAAAATTATTTTTAGTCTTTATTTACCCATCGTATCGATACACAAATACTCGATGAAAATATATGTCAATTGATTGAATCGATATGGTTAGAATCGATTGGTGATCTAAATAAAATGTTGAGTGTATTGCCTGAATCGATCACTCTCAAAGCGGTATGCATATTTATTTTTTCTGCATTGAAATTATCCTTTGTTCAAAACATTAAAGTAGATTATCGAAGCCGAGGCTGCACTGCTTGAAGTCAAATCGACTAATGATCCTGCTGCTGCACTTCGTTTCTATTCACTGATTCCTCATCGACCTCAGCACAATGTTGGTCTCATAAAGAATCGTCGAGCATTAACCGAAAAACTTGACTTATGTCAGGTATATTTATTTCTGTTATTTGTTTCATTTCATCTTTTCTCATTTCAGATGCTTCGAGATATGCTCACAGTCAACGAACTAACTAATTGGAATGTTAAAGCACCCATCGAAGCAAAATATCGAGCATTGAAATGTCACATTGAAACAGTGGATAGTTCAACACCTGAATTTAAAAATGTTGCTGAACTTATTCAATCGTCGATCGATAGGTGAAACAAAATTAACGTTCGATTTTATAATGAAAATTTCCCTTTTTTTCTCATTAGTGGTGAACAAATTGTTATTCATCACGTATTCAGTGTAGCCAAACAGACAGATGCACTCAATTTCTATACATCACTGCCTCATCAATGGCAATTGTTTCATGGATCAAAATATGCCAACTTTCTTGGAATTCTTTCACGGTAACAAATATTATTTTCATATTCTACTGTAGATAGTAGTTATAATGCTAATGTATATGTTCAGTGGTTTGACCATGCCCAAAATGGTGATGGAAGAATTGGGTGTCCTACGTACTGATATTGGTTGTCTTGGTTATGGAATTTATTTTTCTGATTCAGCTTCTACATCTCTAAAATATACGACAGCAAGCACAACGCGGCCAGGTCGACGACTATTATGCATTTGCCAAGTAGCTCTAGGTGAATCAGCCAACTATTATTCATTTTCACCGACTCTCACCAAACCTCCGAATGGTTTTCATAGCACACACGGAGTCAAGCGAACAGAACAAAATAATTCAATGTTTACCGTAAGTAATTTGCGGAGTATGGCTATGCCAAAAGAGAATACCGAGACCCACATCCACACTTGAATGGGTCTTACAATCATAAATTTGATTTCCATCGCAATAGGATAATGAATATGCGATCTATCAACTCGATCAACAACGTCTGCTCTACGTGGTGGAAATTTCATGGACACCGAACGATGTTCTCAATATCGAATTAGAACGACTACCAATTGTTCATCATCAGCAACATGCATTAAAATCGAGTGAACATGGTAATGATGATTCTTTTTGTCAGCATAAAATTTGACTAAGTTCTGTTTTGTTACATTGTAGTCGAAGTTCCATTGACAATCGACGATGAAGTCATTGAAATAGNAAATCTCAATTTCTAACATTAAGTTTTTTCATTATAATATATTTAGACATAAACAAAAAGAGAGTTGGGATTTTTACTCAACGATCAGTAATGATATGAAAATATCACCTAGGTAGATGTAGTTAATTTAGCAGTAGTCTTGGTAGTGATCATATCATCGGTTAAACCCAATAAATTTCATTTAGAATGTGTAAAAGAAAATTTATGAAATTATAAGACAAACAAGAGATTCATACGAAATTAGAATATCTGAAAAACACAGCTCTTTGAAAACTATTTCATATGAATGAAATCGAACTATTTTTGATTAGTAAGCGCTATATATCTGTTGTCTTTTCAGAGTATCTGGTCGAATGCTGGAACGTTGAGGTAAACCAGAAATAAATCAATCAATGAAATGCGATTTTCAGAGTTTAAGCAGCATTACTAGTTCAACTCATTCCTTGAGACAAATAAAGATATAACATATTTCAATATTAATAGGAATTATTCCGACATTTTCGAGCAGATGAGTTAGTAGAATCTAACAGTATTGCTAAAAATTATAAAAGCAATGAAATCTAAACGCTCAGAACAAATAAAAAAAGCAGAATAGGTAACAACGCTGGTTGTAATCGATCCGTTCAGAACTATCAATATGTAAATCTAGATGCAAATACATTCTTAAAGTTCGAACTGGACATGTTGTAGTGTTCTGACAAGCGTATGAGATGCACGAATTTCGAAGGTATTATGTACACTTTTTCGTTTTTAAGCGATTTTTTGTAAAAGAATTCTGATAGCTGAATTCATTTTGGAAACATTCACGGTTTGTTGATGCTACTTTAGCTGTACGGAGCAAACGAATGAAAATCAAAAAATGAATATATGCGACAATAAGTTTATAAGTACTATTGGAATGTATAAGGTGGTCACAGTTCACAATTGCAGAAATATCTCGTTTCTTTACGGCTAGCACGTTATTGAATCGATATTGGCGTGTATTTCGTAGTTGTTAGAAGTTATCCGAGAGAGAAAGATTGTATAGCAAAAAAAGCTCAAACATTTTTGATTATTTCCATCAGTTCTGGAAACATCAATTTCAGTAAGGATTCGCCTCCCTTAGTAAAAGAGTCTTGGAAATGTTCATATTAAGTCATTGTCGGCTTATTGTTGGTTTCAAAATGCACAAAACATCTCCACTAAAATCAAGTAAATTTTTCTCTACGAAATATATACAATTAAGGATAATATTAAACTGAAGAGGTCATTCTTGCATTCCTACAGAATTTCCATTTTTACTTTAACATGTTTTTATACTGATGACAAGTTTTAAGTTTGAAGAAACACTACAACGGACGACATTGTTAAATAGTTTTGCTTGTCCTTGGTACGGAAATCAAGCTGACAAATTATGACGAGACGAAAGTTCTCGCTTTTAGTGAGTGAAAAGAAGAACAAAAAAGTGAGGTAGGAAACGTCGAAGAACCTATGACATTCTTCAAATGACCAATTGCGGAAAGCACTAATAAAGAAAAACTTTATTTATCTTTGAATTGTATTCAAGGAACAATGTATGTTGCTGTAATTATCAACCTATAGAGCAGTGCTAGTAACATTTTGGAAAAAAAGCTGAACTTCATTCAAAATTATCTTTAACAAGAACCTGAAAGTCTTCTAGAAAACGACCGCATTTATTTAAAAACAAAATAAGCTAACTAAAAAAATTAACTTAAATTATTAAAAATACTCGATATGCGTGTACGAAAATAAGAGACTTCAGTACATTTCTGGATAGAAAATAATTCTTTTTCTCTTGAAAAGAAAAATTGACTTTAGTGACAGGATTTCTTTTTCAAAACTAGCTCTCTGAGCTAGCATGATAAATCGAATGGGAAAACTTCTTGATTTAGTTCATATTTAACTTAACCGAAAAAATACTTACAGCACGATAAACAACTCATTTTAAGACGGTTTAACTGAGAATATTGTTTAATACTCTGGGATGGAAATGTTCAATACTTGGAGTCTGTGTTTACCTTTAGCGAGACAAGCAACACCGATAAAACGTCTGTTGCACGTACGTTCAGAATCGAAAGAATTAGATGATGATGGTGGTGAGTTCGATTACGACTTTATCAACGATGTGATGGAAACCTCCTATCATTCAACATCTGGTAAGTTATGCAATTTTTATTATTTAATATTGAACATTGAAAGAAAAGTTTAATAAAATTGAATTTGTTGGAATTAATTTCAAAACTATATTCTCAAATTCCGATATATAGTATTATTCGAATAGCGTGAAAGATATGAAGAGAAGCTCTTCGTGACATTATCTTTAGTTTAATACATTTACCACTGCTTTGAAATAAATAGTAAATATTAATTACTTGTACTTCTGTTAAAAGATGAAGAAAAATGTATCGAGCAGTTATTCTTATGAAGTTTTAGAATATTTATGTATGACATAGTATTAGGTATTTGTATCGTTGTGAAATTCCTATTGATCAATAAAATAATTTTATGCCTAGGAGCCACTGAAATGACATTGATAATATTTTTAGTGTTTTTTTGGTGAGTTGTGGCATAAACAAGCTTAATCTTAATCTATGATATTTAATATGATCTATTCGAAGCCTTTATAAGATGCATAACCGATTTCAATGAACAAATCTTTACATAACTAATGCGTTTGCTATTCTGATTGCAACTACGATACCCTGATTTTTGAACCCTTTAACTTAATTCTCCTATCTGTTCCAAAAGACTTACAGATAAAATAACCACATGAATAGCGTACCAGCCTCTTAAAAATATGTCTATCAAGGAGAAGTTGGAACGACTTGAAAAGTTCTACTTCGTTTCTCGTTATTGGGAGTGTTGATTAGATTAAAATACACTCTTCTGGTCGTTTGTATTTGGAAAATGTAGATAAAGATGCTTTTTTCCCCTTAAGTCGTATTATCATCATCAAATATCTGTTATTGACGATAAATATTTCTTTCGCTTTGAATGCGATTATATTTATTAAAAAAAAATATGTGTATGATACTGTGTCATTTCTGGTACTTTCTACCAATAATAACTATATGGCCGATTTTATGTCTTCGAACTTATTATTTGCTAAAGACGAAACTTGTGCAACTGATATCATTCACCCAAGCTTATAGTTTTCTCATTATTTAGGACTAATAGTGTATATGAAAACTCTCAAAAGACTTAGGTTATTAAGCAGTTTTTCTCGAGCTAAGATCATTTTACTGAATTTCAGTCGATTGCAAAATATTACGAGAAAAATCGAACTTTTTCGAGTCTTTTATGAAAAAGAAGCTTTTGTCCAAGTCTGATATTTGGGAAAAGAAGCGTTCATTTGGACTAAAATTTCTAGAATATTAAAAGACCGTAAGATCAATTTGTGGCTCAAATTTTAGATTGAAATTCTTTGATTCGACTTTTCTTCTAATACTTCACAACAGGCTGAAAATTCAGTAAAATATTTTTAATTCGAGAAGGAACGCCTAATAGTACGCATTCTTTTATAGTTTTCGTATAAACTGTGAACTTCAATTATGAAAAAATATGAGATCAAACGAAGAATATCAGTTAGAAAAGCTTCTTCGTAAATTATGGTGAAATTCGCATGAAGAATTAAGTTCACTACTTAATAAATGCTTTTCTTCATAAACTAGCATAGAACATCGCTCAGCCTTCCGCTGAAACTTCAGTGACCAACGAGGAGTAATAAGTGACAATTAGATTATCTGTTTCTAAACGACAAGTTTACCTGTTTGACTAAAGTCATATTTAGCTCACTGCTATCTAGGAAAATCCAAGCTAAACCAAACGATTATCTCGTAGTTTCAACCGAAAAAATGAGACGTTTTCATAAACATTCATATTTTCTATCGGTCTACTCAATTTACTAAAATTTGTTGACCTCTCACTACAATCTATCAACTAAAAGTAGTCTCATACTGTAGATCATTTATTAGGTTACAATGTTCTGTTGTCAATTATAAATACGCGTGTAAGGAAATTTAGACAACAGATTCCAGTGTTCTTAAATATTATTTGAATTCGAAAATAAGTTACAACAACGCACTTATAAGTGAAAATGATCATAAAAACAAACCTTTCCTAACCAAAGAAAATATATACAACAAAATGGTTATTCTATATGCGAATCGTATTTGGCTAGTACAAATTGGAGATTCATTTCTATAGTTGGTAGCATCTTATAGCTACTGCTGAAGATTATTTGTAGCAATACGCCCGGTAAAGCTACCATCGAAAATAAATAAATTGAATCTAGAAGCCATTAGAGGCATATGAAAAAGCTGATGCATGAGATATCGAGGAGTATGACATTAGTAGTGGTCTCAAGGGTGATTTAGCTTTTCTGCGGTTCACGTACACATATGAGCCTTCTTCGGTTGGTTTTGAAACGCGAAGCCAAAGAAATCCCAATGTCTACTGCTAATAGAATAGAGATAGAAGCCAAGAAACGTATGACTACAAGTAAGATTTTTATTAGTATCAACTTCATTTTATTATATACCTTATAGAATTACCGCCATCATCGTTACCAAGGCTGCCACGAGAATTAATTCAACAACAACAAAAATCTGTTACTAAGACGCCAAAGTTCGTATTTTCAAGATTCTGATATATCATGTAGTCATCGACTTATTCTATTAGGTTGACACTTGGTAAATCACCGCTAAGTTCCATATCAAGGGAAAAGAAGTCATCAAAACGAAGTTCTATACCTGCAACATCGCTTTCTACCATTGCTCACATCGGTAGTAAGACGGGTGAATATAAGATCTGAATTTTGACCTATTAATGTTTATGTTGATTCCCAATTTTGACTAGATTCGAGTTATATTTAGTCCTTTTGAAAATAAGAGGTTATTATTATACAATCAAGAGTTCCTAATTGTCTTACATTTTTTTCAATATTTCTATACTTGTACTATTTTGACATAATGTCACAAACAGCAATAGGTCATATATGAGATTAACTTTATAGATATGCTTCTTTGCTATCAAATGCGCTTACTCTTACATTGTAAGGATTATTTTTAACATCAACTGATGGAAGCTATTTTGAATATTTTCTTTTTTGAGTATTACTTGAATTCTGCAAGAGTTTTACTTTAGAAATGATATTCGTCAACTCATTACTAAATCCTAATGTTAGTCAAAGATGATATTTTGAGCATTTGTAAAAAAAATACAATAATCTTTGACAGATCTTGAACACAACTAATGTATTGCTTACTAATACAGATCTTGAGATTTTGAACATCAGGAAAGCTCTTTTCAATTGCTGTACATTTCCTGTTGTGAATAAATGTGCAAAATGTTTTGGATAGTGGACACAACATCAGTTGAATATTTTGCTGATGCACAAGAATTAGTTTCTATATTGTTCAGTATCTTGTAAACGAGAACATCTAATGTCATCCTAATGTTAAAGTAAAATAGGAGTATCTTATTATTAACTGCGTCAACAACTAGGGTAGCTATAAATCTGCATTTTTTATATTGAGAAAAAAAATTCAAGAATGAAGGTTTAAATTATATAAGATTCATTCCGGTAAATAAGGATATTGTCGTCGTTTTCTTATACGAATGTGCGGTGACCAATCAGCATGACACACATTTATGTCAAGTCATAATTTTCGTTGCTCATACATGCATAGGCATGTCTTTGACAAATATGAGGTTTTTCGTCTTGTAAGTACCCATGAAGATCCATCAGATTTTATTGTGAATAAAACAGTTTGATCGCATTCAGATGTGTGTATAACTGAACAGACGGTCAAAATTTTATCAATTGTTAAACTCCCAAAAAAAAGAAAATTTCTGAAATTTTCAATATTTCTCAAAACTTTTGGTATAGGCTGTTGCGTAGTTATCGAGCTTGTGGAAATTTCTGAAATATGAACGTATCTCATAAATATATGTTCCAGTATTTACTCTTTCTAATAGTAAAATGTCAACTCTATAGTTGCTTAGTTGTTCATGTATTCGAAAACTAATCACTAATATTCTAATTTGAAATGACTGTATTACGTCAATAAACACAAAGAATCATTCAAAATCCCCACAGCAAGACTTCAATTTTGACTTGTCGTAGAATTAAGTGAACGTCTTTCTCAACTGAATGGTCGTTTGCATTAATTATTCCTGTTAGGATTCATTGGTTTCTTTCGGAAATTAGAAAGGCCTAATTTGACCAGAAAAAAAATGCCCTTCGTCCTACTTTTTAAGCTATCAATATGTAGCTGATACGAATTTCAATCAAATTTCAATTTCTTCTTATGCTTAGTTCCATCATATCAACCCCCAATGCCACCTGTACCTTGGCAATCATCTCTACCACGGCCTCCGCCAGTACAACTACAACCTATGCAGCAACAATGTATGCAACAACAACCTATGCAACAAGAAACAGCAGCAGCTAGAGGTAGAGGTGGAATGTCAATGCCTTTTTCTCATTTAACGCCAACAGGAAGCACAACGAGGGCGTATTCTGGTGTGCAAATTTCTCCTGCTAGTCTACGCCTGCAAAACCCCATTCCTCAAAATGCTTTTGAAACATCACAAGCTTCTTCGAGTAAGACGTTGCTACATGAAATAGCGTTGTGTTCATCGAGTAGTGAACTACTCTTCGGCGCATATTTCTCAACGACACACAACACAACAATAACAACTCATCATTTTCGGTTATAGGGCCCCAGATGCAAGCCACATTTCTGCCTCCACCTGCCTTTAGATCTCAGAGTGATGCAATCAATATGCCAATGATGCTTTCGAGTAGCTATTCACAAAACTTTTCATCTGGTCAGTTAATGCGATTCAAGAAATATGACTTTCGTTCTCTTTTAGATTTTAGTTCTGACGCCAACCGCAACAATGAGAGTAGCTTTTATAATGCCACACGAGCCTATGTCCCTGGTAAGTCGCAAATAGAACCATATTCATTTTTACATTCAGCGCCGTCTTTTTTTCGAATTAATATTATCGAGATTTCTAGAATACGGAGCTGCTGCTGCTGGTATTTCTTCTCCTTTTCCAACAACAACAACAACATCATCATTATCATTTTACTATCCTGGCCAGACTCCCATCACTAATAGTACCGTAGATCGAGGTAAGATTTGAATTTTTGCCTATTTGTATCTATACTACTCCTTTCCTTGAATTAAAGTCGATCTGCATTTGAATCTATTGAATATAATAGGATTTTACTACACAATCAGAAGTCGACAATTCTTTTTTCATAGTTTTGCCCTTGTTTATTGTCTTGATGATAATTAAAGCACAGCCATAACTAACACACATTTATTTTTCGTAAAACATGTTTGCTTGCCTTTAAGATCTTGAGACTACTTTGAGTGACAATCAATAAAATCAAAATGTATGCATTTTCCTATTTTATTGCACCTTTTGACTGTCAGAGTATCATTTTCAGTATCGCATAGGTTAATTTAATTGGTTACTTCTGTCATTAGTCGAAATTCGTAGTTGAATGTTTCATTCAAAAATTCAAACAACATACATAAGTCGTACTCAGTAAATTATTTGTGAAATTTGGTTGAGCAATAACCGCAAAAGGCGAAACGTTGTAAACAGTAAAATTCCAATCGTTCATCAATTACAAAGTCAGACAGATATGCCTGTTACACTGTACACCTTAAAAGCCTCAGAAAAACCTTCTTTTTTGTACAAGAAAAACTTTTTCTCAACAGTTACAAATGGTATCAAGAAGAGATATACCCTATGGAATGCTGACAACACGAGCAAAGATGGTGGCTAAAGCTATCATTCAAATTATATATCAATAATTAGAGTTTTGGCACTGAAAACGTCAACTTGCTAAATAGTATCACTGTATAAATTTCAACAGTTCAAATGTGTGGGTATGAGTCTCTTCTTCTACGATTCGTACTGATATCCACATTCACACTGGAATACATTGTTAATGAATTGTTCATTGATCATAATTTTCACGATGAACGAAGTAGATGACAGATATTTTTAATATATTCGCTATAATTAATCGTTTCATAAATGAAATTATCAAAGAAGATCAATGCAAGAAACTTAATTTGTGAAGCGTAAAATAAGAGATTAAACAGGTTTCTCATAAGAATGACTACTTATACCGATCATCTAGCATATAATCTCTGTAGTTTTATAAAAATAGTTTTCAACCAACACTATGTAGTGTGCGACCAATAGACGCCGATATTCATCTATAGAGCTCAAATGAGAAGTAACGCCTCTCAATGTGTCTTAGTGAGATTCCGTTAGACTCTGAAGTTTGAATTCGATGCTTAGCCATCAAGCCCATGACATCGACAATGGATGTAATCTGTACTATTTTAGCGACTGTTGTGACAAAATTGTCACCAATATTGATGGGAAAAAATCTTTTAAAATGAAATGTATAGTCCCGTCTCATACTACTCTCGTTTATTGTCTATAAATAGGTAACTATCTAGTTAACATTTGTGGAAAGTTTCAGATTTTTTAAGAGTTCAAACTATAAAATACTACATTGCGTTGTGATACATAAAACCCATTCTGTTCTATCCTGTTAGATCAAAAAACTCGAAAAAAAATGCTAGCGATATCATCAGAAGTCGAACTGCTTATTGTACTGCAACAAAGTATGATTGTTATCTTCAACAGGTTTGGTAGAACTTATTAGCTTCTTTTGAAGTGAAGACACACAGACCGGAAGATGACATTGGCTCTTCCGACATGACCTAGGATCAATACTGTTAGATAGAGAATAGTCGATAATCTCAATTTGAATAGGAATGTTACAGTGATTTTTCAAAAAACTTAGCAAGTTGGAAGATAAGCACCGTAGTTTGTATTAATGCCTTACCAAAAGTTCTTTGTTGTAGAGGACAGTTTGAAGCATGAAAATTAGCAGTTATATACTCAATCCCAATGAGAAGATTATGAAAAATATCAAAAATACAAATTTTTACGTTAAAAAGTTTCATACTTTTAATCTCACAGTTCAATTTCCATTCGATCGGATTTCGAAAAGTTATGCAAAATATTTTCAAGACACTTTTCGTTCTGCTAGAGCTCCAGAAAAAACTTGACTTTATGATCGATATCAATAACAAATAATGATGCATCGATAAAAACATTATAGCACGTCATTATTGCTTTTATGACGGTGGTAGAATTCATTGTGGTCCAATTTTCACTTGAACCTTCGATTGATATTTTCACATTTAATGAAACTTTATTCATCGACTGATGAGTTAGTTTTTAGCTTGCTTTCCATAAACCGGGAACAACAATGTGAACCATTCGATTCCTGTTAACCAAATGTTAGAGAAATTAAAATTTAGACCACTGCCGTAAATTTATCTTTATTATAAACCTGATACCGGACTATTCTATAGAAAGGTTGCTATTTGGATAGTCAATGTCATCTCAGAATAGTAGCAATTACATTTATCATTTCCAATCGATATCATCTACAGTTTTCCTTAATTTTTTTCTAAAGCAGAAAGAACAATGATAAGAACTTTGTCTGTTGTAGAACGTTATCCTCAATCGTTCACTGTCAGTTGTACATGTCAGGTGTGTTACCTTCTAAGTTTATGTTCGTTCTAGGTGTTGACTTGTCATCACGATACAATTCCTATACCTATACTGCTAATAATTCTCTATTTGGTTTTACTGCTCCTCCCCCACCACCGCCACCACCGCCACCACCAACATCACGCTCAACAATATCACTGTCAACAGATATGGCGTCGTTTGGATCACAAGATAGTAGCAGTTATATGCAGGCTCCTGCAGCACCACAACGTATGTCGACCATTAGTATGGGTAAGTTAAAATCATATTAATTCCTAGATAATTTTGGAGAACGAAAAATGTACATAGAAACAAGGTTACATGACTCGCCACGCGGTGATGAACGTGGTCACACTAAGAATTCTATGCGTGAATCTCGAAGCTCACGTGATCGTACGCTGAGAAAAATATCCGCAACGGATTTTACTGTCTACTCAGTGCGTACATTAACATAAATGCTTTTTGGTTTGGAAATTTTGTTCACTTCTAGAAGCAATTCTATGACGACAGTGTGCTAGACTCCGTACCGGAAAATACAAGATCAAGTTACAAGCGGCGTTACGGAAAAGAAATGAAATTAATGTAAGTTGTGAAAGATTTGATACAGGCATGCGACGATTAATTACTAATCATCATTCTATATTGATATCACTTTTCAAATAAGAATAAACTAAAAATTTAGCTCTGAATCAAGAATGAGAGATATTCCAATGTCTGATATATCTTTCTGCGATCTACTGCTCTTTGGTGTCTGCCCACTTGGCCTAGGTATTGAAGATATTCATGGTTGCATGCATACACTCATTCGTCGTAATACAACCATTCCAACAAAATCTCAACTTTGCCCATTATTCACAAATGCTTATGCCTATCAGAAAACAGCTACCATTCGCATATTTGAAGGCGAACATAGGCTGACAAAATACAATGTGTGTAGTGTTCTACATATATAAATGTTATTTGATAGCTTTCCCTATTATAGAAATTTTTGGGCGAGTTCAGTCTTTCTGGCCTAACAAGCAATTTTGCTGCTCAGACTCTCGAAATTTCTATTTGCATGGATATCGATGCCAACGGTATACTTCGTGTGGACGCCGAGGAAGCACGTTCTGGTGCCAAAGCTTCATGTACTATTGATCCCAGTAATCAGAAAAGTACGATAATTACTTCGATGTTTGATATCGTAATTATATACCATTGAAATGTATTTAGGATTCACAAAAGATGAAATTGAACGGCATATTCAAAATGTAGAGAGCGATGCAGATTTTGCAGCTAAATCTAGTCAGTGTTAAAAGGGTAAATGATATTTAATTGTTTTTATTTTGTAGTTTATGATCGCACGCCTAGTGATGCATTGTATATGGTTCGTATTATATTGTCTTCTCATAGTTCGATTGTTCATTTTTTGTCCTTTGTCAGCTTGATGGTCAAACTGAAAATTTAACACACAACTTTTGCAGTGACTTTATTACCTCATTCGGTAATTTATCTCTTGTTATGGTTTGTGAGATATACTGTAATAGTAACTCTATATGAATTCAGGTCAAAATGTTGATGCTCCACTTCTCAGTAAACTGAAAGATATTCGATCAACAAAAACAATGATTGAAGAACTTATTAAACTTCAATCCCAGGTAGAATCATAACGAAACTTCATTAGTTATTTATTGTTTTTTCATTCGATTCGAATCTAGGACGGCTCATTTACGTTGAATAAAGATTTAGCTGATGTACTTCACATCAATCTTGATACTTTCAATGGCCTTGAACGCTATTTATACGAACAAGGTTTTAATTCACTCGGTAAGATCGAATAATTTCTTGTAAACGTACAAAGACACGAGCTTTAATTTTGTTAGCTGTAAACATACGTAACGACATTCTGTGTTTGATTGGTACGGGTGTCATTCTCCTTTGGCTCGTTCTTCAAACGGAAGCTTCACAACAAAATACGTTCGACTTTTTATTTAACAGTGAACAAATCAAAGTGAGTCGTTCTTTTTTGTTCAATCTTTTCATTTACCCTACTCTAATGTCTATCTCTTGCTAAGGTTCGTCTTTGCAACTATTTACCTACTAACATGAGCGAACAAATTGACAAAGCGATCAAATTCTATCAATTAGCATGCCAACGTAATAGTATATATTGTAGACAATTAGAACTGAACGTTCCATCGTGGAACATGTTTATTCGGCGTATTCTTATCGGTGCCGACCGTGGCAATAATTAAGAAATGATTCCGAACGACATTTATTCTTTTTTATTATTCTAATCGTGAAACTTTTCAACATTATTTATTCTTCACCTAAAATAAAGAGATTTTGATCAAAATCATTAACGCTATTCTCGATTATTACTATTACTGAAATACAGATTACAAGACTTTACCGCACACTCAACACAAGAATAAAGTTGTATCGAGCATAATAAAGATGTCCCAGGGATTTCGATTGCTGCTATGAATTAGTTTTTGTATGATGGCATATTTTATTTTGTCAGTTGCTTATTTACATGTAATATTCTTCATTCTGTATAATGAATTGAGCAAAGGGCATTTCGAGTTTGTGTTGCGTGAATGTGTACATTTTTTTAAGGCTTTTGTTCTTTTTCTACAAGTCAAAAGTACTGATTCGAATACTTCGTGTTTATCAATATAACATTAGGTCATTAGACAGTATTTATAAAAATAGATTGTGTATTTCATTCTTTAGCATAAGCAGGAGAACATGACAGAAAAAGCTAGTTTTTTCTTGATTAAACCATAAGTCTATTCACTATTCGAGGGTGTGAATGTGATTTATTTTTCGATAACATTCACATCATTTTTGAGTTGATCTCTCGACCAATACTAGCATAAAAAGAAGCCGATTTCTTTGCTTCTACAAATGGGTGTGAGTACGGGTTTGGGTATAAAAGGAGAAAAAAAAGTCATACTGTACACCCTATAGTAAGATATTCGTATGCTTTCATATGCCCTTACAATAGGAATCTTACGTTATACAATCACTAATAATAACTTATAAAATGTTGAACGCTCGTTCAGATTTTAGAAGTGTAGAACACTAAGTACAATAACAGAAGATTGTATGTTTATTTTTCTTTGATGGAATTTTTATCAATTAAAGTTTACAAGATTTAGTAACAAGACCAACTTTCACATCACACTTACAGTAATGACTATAGTGAAAAAGTTTTCAGCGCAATTCACGCGGGATTATAATGTGAAACACACTGTAGATGATTGAATCGCCAACGAAGACTCTTGCTATATACACTTCCACATTTATTAACGAGCGTGTTTCACAAAAGAATTATGAATACAATCACTCTTTAATGTTTAAAATGCTGCAATTTTCACTTTTCGATAAACGGATCGAACTCAATTCATACAATCATTTCTAAAAACTGTTCCGATTAACGTGTAAATATAAAATGGCATTCCAAAACTCATAAAGCTCAGAAGGTAAAATAGCTGAAAACAAAAATTTTCGATTGTAGATCTTAATAAACTTTTTTGGACATTTAATGCCGAGGTCAAGTAGAGACGTTAAACAGTCAATTAGATGTTGAGTAGCGTTAATAGAATAATTTGAACAATTGACATTTGAATCAATTATCGGTCAATCTTTTTCATTGTCATTCCTGTTCTATGTGAACCAATCGTCGATACAATTGGACAAAGTAATTTTCTCACATTTTGTACAGTTGCATATCCAAATGTCAACATAATGGTTGATGGTATAAAAACAAATACGAATTAGGAGTGATGCATTAACTTTAAAAACACTTTAATAAAGTATTAAAGTTTACAGTGAAAGTAAGCCACTTTAACAGGGGTATGGATGAGGGTGTGAGTACGGATGTATTCAAAGATATTACTCACACCCACACCCACACCCATTTTCCTATCAGAGAAGCGATACTTCCAGATTTTATCAAACTTGAAAATGAAGGAAGGTTCCATAAACTCATCAAAATAATTAATTAAAATAAACAAGTTTTCATGTATGCAAATAAAGGCTTTGAAACTAACTCCTTACCGCGTTCTATGGAACAAAAAGAGAGCATCGATAGGACCTAAGGGGCAGTTTCTTAGTGCGTTCAAGGATGATTGTTTTTAGACACTTTGATCAAAATCAATGTGTCATAAATTAGTTTTTTTCTTTTTGAAGTACACATAACCGGTCATAAAAAATGAGCTCCACACGTAAACTCCAAATTTGGAGCTCACTTACGCCTCCATACTTTACCAATAATACAGTCCATGTTTTCTGGTTAACAGCAGTTAGACCCCATTTCACTGAGATACTAGGTTGAGAGTTTGATCTGATGTTCAAAAGCTATATTACNTAGAAAGTTTCATCGCAATCTGACTCTCCTTTCGAAAGTTATCGTGTAAACGGCCGGAAATACAGACCGATTTTAGTAGTGTACTAACTTCTTGAGTACAAAAAAAACAGTCATATTATACTTATGAATTGATCATTGCGCGTAGACAATGAGAGAGAAAGGCTTACACACATTCGGCTTTTGAGATTAAAGTTGTCTCATTCAACGGAGTGTATGAAAATTAGAAAAAATCGAACAGAATTTCTGTCTATGTGTATTCTCTATCTAGTTATGTCTATTTTACTATATTTTAGACATGTTATAGCGGAAGAGGGTGAAACTGTTATTCACTAGCGCTACTTGAGACGTTGTGCAGAAAGAAAACAAACATTATCATTGAATCACTACTTGCATTCCCAAGTTATTCAAAAAAAAGGTAACCAGTAAGTACAGTGACTTAGGGCAAAATGTTTCAGTTTAATTAGTGTCGCACATTTTAAACTTTGCTACATGTGTTTATTGGAGACCAATCAGAAAAACCATAATGCTAAATCTGACAATAGATACAAGTATTGTTCGAACTTTGATTCGTTGGCATTAGATGATAGTATTGCGAACATTTTTTTCTCTAATGCGTTCCTTGATGGAAAACATTAGTTTTACAATTTGCTTTTTTGTGCAATTGAAACAAAAAAAATTAATTTGGTTCCGTATTGACTTCTGCAAGCGCATCAGTCACAACAACACCATCAAGTTGTCGTGAACAACAAAGTTCTTCATCTACGAGTATATCCCGACGGATTTCTATTATGAACAAGAGCGACTGATTTGGTCAAGATCACCTTAGAGGCCTAACCCTTCAGAAATGAACGAAATATTAGCACATCTACGTTGAATATCAATGAAGTATCACCAAACATCGTACAAAAGTGACGGTTACCAAAATTCGTTTTCACCATCCACATCTATCGATGCTGCCAATTGCAAATGAATCGACATCGGCTAGCAATACTACGATATATTACGATATGAAACATATGATATCATAGCGTACAACCAAAAATTCTCGCCATCTTTTCGACAACATTTGTCATTTTTTATTTGTTCTACTGTACTGTACTACTCTATTCGATTATATACTTTCCTGTTCTCATTCGAATACTCGACATTTTAAGACATTTCTATTTTTTCTTATATCCATTGTACGGTAATCAATTTCATCACGAACTTATTATTCTTATAAAGTCGTGCTGTCGCCAATGCTGTTCATAATATCTCAGTCGACAACAATCGTTTTCGATCGAAGAATTTTTCACAAGTGCCGCACAGTATAGTCTCAAATAAAATCGCTTTCCGATAAAGAATAAGCAAATTTTCGCTTTTCTTCTTTATTTTTTTTACGTCGAATCTAAAATAAGGATACATGTGCATGAGCGCATACACACAAACATACATAGAAAGAATGTGTTCTATTTATCTCTCAGTTTATACAGCATGAAGTTCATGTGACAATGAATGATGACGAAATATAGTCAGAGCATATATTTAGTAGAAATGAAAGAATGGGACTCATGCTTATCTATTTGTTTTTCTTCCAGAGTCGAGGTCTATAAAACGCATGATAAAAAGTGATATAGAAATGAAATAAATTTTTCTCTGACAGGACAAATATTGACCGAATCATGTGAGTTACATTGTAATTTATGTGAGAGAAGGGTGTGGGTGTGGGTACCCATTGGATCATGATACACCCACACCCACACCCACACCGACACCCACACTACACCCATAACCACACCCACACCCTTACCGCTCGACATGGGAAGACACGGTTCCTATAGTAGAGCAAACACATAATATACACTGCGGTATCTGATTTTTTTCTCAAAAATATTATTAGTGAACTATTCTTTCTTATTTGTCTAAATTTTATTAAGATAAAAGTTTATTTAAATTGAAAATTAAGAATTAAATCGAAATAAATTAAATACCTAAATAATGTAATGAACTAATCAGACTTGAAATTCAATTATGACGCTTCAACAGACGATGTTGTCTTCACCAGATATTAATGGAATGTAAACTTTATTATTTATGTACGTATTCTTTTCTTTTTCTTTAGATGCTGTTATCATGTGTAACAAATGATGGTGAATGTGTAAAATATAAAGAAACAACAAAGAGTAATAAACGAAAAATATTAAACAGTTATGTCTTGTCTGATAACCTGTAATGAATTGTGTTTTTTTCAACACTCTTCCTGCCATTGTCATGCATTCATTATTATAGACATCCTAGCATCACGTTAGTGCACCTTGTTTCAAAGTTGATTTGCTGTTAGACACAAGTGTGTATCTTGTTATTAGACTCGAAGGAAAAAGCTTTTTATAATTCATCTACTAATAATTATTTTAACTCAACAGTTGTATAACTAAAAAAAAGCAAGGCTTGTTATTGATTCATAGTGATAATTAGGTTTTCACAATTAGATGAAAAAAATGAATGTGAAATGTTTATAGTACCTAATCATGAGTATTGTTAGTACGTAGCCGCAGGTGAAAAAGTATTGCGCACAAACACTGTGCAGGATGTGTTTGTGTTTGTTTTTCTAAAAAAATAACGATAGAAAGCAGCAATTATGTGTTATTGAAAGAATAAATTATGCTCAGAGAAGAGAGTCATGATCAATAAAAGATTCAATAAAACAAGAAATCTAAGGTGAGAAGCAAAATATTTCATAGCAAGTTTCCACTAGTACGATAATAACAAAAGTTAGGCAAACACAAAATTATTATCAGAGTGATGAAGAACTTTGACTTTGATCGAAAACAATCGATTACATCTGTGACCGAAACTCAACGCAGTATGGTTCAAGCAGAAATTAATATGATCAATGCTACTGCTGATGCTGTTATTCCACTAGGCGGCTGGTGTTCAAAATGGAGAAAATTTTGGAATAACTATGAATGGCGCATGCGACACTATTTCTATATACATCTTTCGGTGTTCTTTTGCAATACATTGTTGTGTGGTGTCATCGTCTGGAATATTGAACAAAAACGTGTGTCCTACCTTGACTGTTGGTTTACGAGTGCAACATGTGTATTCACGTGTGGATTGGAAACCTATGATTTCGGATCATTCAGTCAAGCATCACAAATTATATTACTTATTTTTACAGTAATATCGGGTAAGTGGAAAAGAACGACAGATCATCTATGACATTTTTCTTTGATTATCATACAGGTATTACTGTGAGCACAATTCCGGCTATTTTTATCAAGATTTATCGAGTCAAACGCGAAATAACGCCTGATGAAGAAATATTTTCATCGACTGTCAATGACAATAGTTTGCCAATTACACAAATTGTTCAACTTAATTCTTCTGATCCTGTATTGAATCAACGTCTTCGATTACTGCCTAGTCCGAAAGATCTTCGCACTACAGCATATATCATTCTAATTATTCTCATTCTTTCGACTTGTTTCACTATTTATTTCATCTCATTTTTTGCTATTGGATTTTGGCTTAAATATCATTATGATTCACAGTATCTGCTTCGAAACAATAGTACAGTCAATCCATTTTATGCTTCACTTGTCATCACTCTGACCGGTTTCAATCAAAATGGCCTTTCACTCTGGTATTGTATTTAGTATTCTTTTCTTTGTGCCTACATAGTTACCGAAGTGATACAGCTTGAAAAATGTGTTTCTAGGAAAGGTAGTATGTCACTTTTTGTCACGGATGTCTTCATGAACATAACCATCATGCTTATTGTCATGTCTGGCACATCTCTGTTTCCGGCCATTCTTCGTGGAATCGTTGACTTACTTAAATGCTTGGTACCGTAAGTATTCACTAATTCTCTCTTTACTTCACATTTTAATAGCTAATTAAAATGACATTATTTTCAGTTGGCGACACAAGATCTATTTTGATTATATCTTATTGAATAATCATCGGTTGTCTACTGTGATATATCCTGCTGTTCAAACACGACTCTATGTTTCCATTACTATATTGTTACAGATACGTGAGTAATCATAGTATCGAGTAAATCAAATTCTGGTTTTTTTTCGTTATTTCAGTTGGTGTGACAGTGTCTTTGGTCAATGATTTTCATGACGAATCGTTGACCATGTATAGCGAAAGTCAACGATTCATGATATTTATGTTTCAGACAGTGAACACTCGTTTTGCAGGTACTGAGTAATTAGTACATTTAATCAGAAAACTGTTTCTTAACCAATTTGTACGTATTTTTTGTTGTTAAAGGCTATGCAACATTCGATATAAGTTTACTTTCGGCCGGAACTTTGATCATTTTTGTTCTGTTGATGGGTATCAAACCTCAAATGGTATGTTTATTATTCTTTCCTGAAATGTGATTATGAAGTAGAGTTAAACTTTTACAGATTGAAATTTATAATAAGATTGAAGTCAACCATTTAGAAAGAACAAGTTTAAGCATAAACATATTCATAATTTTTCAAGCTTAAAAGTGCTCTTCTTTGTTTCTCATGTTTCCAAGATCATAAGAACATCGTATAATTTCAACTTGCCTCTAAATATGTTGTTCCTAAATTCATTATATTGATACGATTCGTTTATCATGTTCTCTTGCTTCATGCTTTCCTATGTATTGTTCCTATTAAATTGTGTTCTTTATTAGCTTCAAATAAGTTCTGTTCTCAGAAGAGTAACGTATAGAATGTAAAACCATTCCTTTATTAGTCATTGTGGACAATCTCTTACTTTGAACCATTTCTAACTATTTCTGTGCAATAACATAATCTATTTTCAGATGTTTTTTTTTTGTTTTGAGAAAAACTAACCATTGAAACCATTTTGTTGCATTGATATTCTTATTCTCTTGAGATTTCTCGACAATCTTTTTTGATTCATAACACAAAACCGTTTTCTTATTCTTAGTTGTGTGCAATTAATGAAACACCATTTGAAATGGAATGGATACTTTTGCAAACACAACAAACACTGGAAAATAACGTATCTAATGGAAGTCAAAATGCTAATTTTAAAATTTTCTTACCATTTAATCGAATGCAAAATTATCTTTTGCGAAAAGGTTCGATTACTAAAGCTCAAGCAAACAGATACTTTGCTTCAACAATTTCTATCAATCGTGTTGAAGCAGCTCTTGATGAACTTAATGACAAACGAAATCAACATCGTTTGAGTATTACATCTGCTGACATGCGTTATGTGAGAAATCGAAACGAAGAAAACACTCAAAGTAATATTCATATATCTTTACTTCGCATGAAACTTTTTTTGATCACTTTCTGTCGACATGCCATTCTCAGTTTCTTCAGTCTTCTTGTATCGACTCGATCATGGCTATTTATCTTTATCTTTCTTATTTGCACATTTGAAGCGTCTCGTATGATACCCAGTGATCCAACTATTACCGTATTTCGTGTGATATTCGAAGTGATTAGTGCCTTTGGTGGATGTGGTTTTTCCATGGGATTTTCGAAAGGAATGCCGAGTCTTGTCTCTATTCTCACGTCACCCAGCAAAGTTGTAATCATACTTGTTATGTGCATGGGTAGACATCGAGGTTTACTCGATTCAATGAAAGATCAAGAAGAGATCGAATATAGTGCACAAATTCTTATTGATAGTTGGAAACAATTAGCGATACTTGAATATCAAGAAAAGAAAAAATTATTGGATGAAAAATTCAAACCAACAATATCTGTTCGTTTTCCAACGCCACCACTAGTCACTCGCTTTTGACATTATTGATTTTTGTTGTGTTTGTCAGTTTAATTTCATATTCTATTGAATACATAGATAGATATGACTGCTTATCTCATTATCACTGTTTAATTAACAGAACATTTTTTATATTTCTGCTATTATTATAACTCCATGTCTACAAAGTTTACAAATAATAGTATTTAGATCTCTCTGGTGCTTAATGCGACATCTAGTAGACCATCGAAAAATCAAGACAAATTCATAAACGATGAATTATTCAAGCCGACTTTCTCATTAGTCAAGACCGCGCAGTCGTTGTTAAGAAAATCTTTTCGAGAAAAAAATCACGATTCACATTGTTGTTACTAAGCTATGAATTTCGTCCAAAGCTCAACAGGTCTTTATTTTATTAATCGAAAACAGTGCAAGAAAAAATATATTTCAAATAGCAATAACGTAGTGCATACAGAAAATACACGCACAAAAATTAATACTTTCATCTATTCGTTCTGATTTTTTAACACAAGTACTTGACCAGCATGGTTAATATTGACAGCTACTGAAGAGGGAAGGTAGAACGGTTCACCATCCATTTGTGCTGTCATCGGGCTACAAAGTTCAATACGCAATTGATTACATTGAGCAATCCGTTTGCCACTAAAACCCATATGGATCGTAGCCATATGTGTAGTAGTTAAGCCGACAACTTCGACTTTTTTATCTCCGAAATCTTGTTGGTCGAAACAATCAGTTGAGGTGGTCGTCATTGATGAACTACCCATTTGATGTGTATCCCATTCATTCAGTGTAACAGGTTCAGTAGCTACATATGCACCAACTAACGAATCGAATACATTGACTGAACTTACCGATCTGTCATTGGCAGAGTTGCTAGCTCTTTGAGAAATCGACGATCGATCACTCTGAAGGATAAATGAGCTTCTTGATGAAGACTTTCCCCATGGATTTGTACCGGACGCATAGCCTGAAATGTTGAGTACAACTAACGTGTGACAATCGCGTATAGCATCAGTTAGATTACGTCCATCGCATATTAAACGAATATAAGAGCCGAGATTCCACATATTTGCTTGAGCAAAATCACTGAAATATTTGCAGCTTCTATTCAAATACATGAGCTTATTTTTCCACGGTGACGAAAATTTCGATGGATCACGTGTGCGTTTATCATGAAAATCTAATGTAATGGCTGCGTCTAAACCAAAACTCATGTAATTGATGAAGCGTGTATTTGGTAACTTATGATGATTTTTATCATAGGCGGCTCGATTTTTTTCGAGAACGAATTTCGGATGCTTGGCAAACAATTGAGGTATACGATCAATTTGAAATATACTTTTTCGATTCTGTTGTGTCGATGAAGACAATATCGGCATATCGAGTTGTTCGAGCTGGACTTCCCAACGGTCAAGTGCAACAACTTTAGCTTGCGGAATTTGTAAGAGTGTTTGAAAAAGACGTTTCGAATCGTATTGTTCGCCCCAAGCCAATACGCGTGAAAGATCATTGCCCGTTCCTAAAGGACAAATGCTCACTGGTGGATTATTTCTCGATGGATAAGCCTCGGCTAGGCGGCCAAGAATCCAACAGACCGTACCATCACCACCACATATACAAAAACGCGTATTAGGTAGTGACGAGTAGATATTGAAGGCATGTGTGATAGTCGCATTGTCTTCTAGAAGAAATACTTGACGTGGATTGAGTGCTCGTAATAGTTCGCGATAGATTTTGTTCCCTTGTTGACCACCAGAACGTTTATTTATGAACACAATAACGGGTGTATATGGAAAAGAGTTTGATTCAAAGTTGTTTTTGGTCGACTCCGAAGTTAATCCGGCTATGAAACCAGTTGGAGATTCGCTGGAACGGCTCAGCCACTGCGGTCGAACAATAATATTTCTATCGAAGGAAATCAACATATTGATCTCAACAAGTGATTAAAATTAAACCAAGAGAACAAATAGAGAATTCTAAACAGCTTCACGATGAACTCAAAAACCAAAAAGGATTTTCTTTTGAATATCACTCGAAGTTTGTATATTATAAGCATGTTTCAACATTCATTGGCCTTACGATTAGATGGAACTTATGTAGTAATCATTAACGAACAGCGATGCAAAATTTTCAAGATAACGATGAATTTGATGAGAAGTGTGACCGAGTATTTCCGTAAGCATGCAAGCCATGCAAGGTTTCTTTTTATTCTATCTGCATAATCATCATTATAAACTTACCGAAATATTCCATAGTCACATTGCATATTATCATCTTGACCAGCAATACGTTCCCAGCACAATAGATGATAGCCTCGTGAGCACCATAAACAAATGATACCGCTAGATTCGGATGTGTTTATATTCGAATTTTCCGGTATAGAATTCATGCCCAATGTGACCTGACTGATGATATCTAAAGCAGACGTCACCAATAATCGACCACTTCTACTTCTGAACAGAGGCTTAGTCATCGAAGTCTGTTGACAGTACACGCACGGTAGTGAAAGTACGGAGATATGGGACCAGAAATGTTCATCGTATTTGGATGGATTATTTTCGCTTTCGAGAAGTGAATTGCCTGGTGTTGTGTTATCGACAAATGACGGACGACAGGGTGGAAGAAAATTGGTTTCGATTGACCGTGAATCATTCAAATGATGCGAATGTGCAATCAGACCACATGATTCACATTGTACAAGTGCCGATTGATAGCTTGGTTTAACACCTATACAAGAGATGTGGGCACATGACTGATCAGTCGATAGATCCTTGCATATCATAGGAAACCAACAGTGAGATGTGGGACGAGCACGATCGCTCCAATCGACTCCGTATGAAATGGAAGTTTGACTGTCGGATTCGGAGAACAGTCCCAAGGATTTTGTCGGAATGAAGTGGAAGACACTAAAAACGAAAAAATCAGCTATTGTTCTTCTTGCGTAATCCACTCAGTAAATACCTTGCCTGATTTGAGACATTAAGTGGCTGAGATTCGATTAGTTGCTCATCTTGTCTCAGCAAGCATTGATCGCAAGGAAAAGGTGGTTGATCAGCTGTCTTATCATCGATCGATGATGAAGACAAGTGAAACTGTTCATTATGACCGTCACCTGCATAGCTTACTACTAATCTTTGGTGGTTGAAGGACGATGAAGATGAGTCGGATAGATCAGATAAAATCGTCGGTAGGGAATTCGATCGTTTCACTTTTACATTTTCCACTGCTTGAGGACTATTATTTAAGTCCAATCGGCGTGGATCATGCTCATGTGCGCGATAAGTTGGTTCTAGATGATGTTGATCGATATCAGTCGATGGATTTTTCTTCATTAAAGTATCACAATTACCCAGTTGACTATTGTCAACAACACCTGAATGAGTTATTGACATGTCATCAATTGGCAAAGTCGACATGGTTGACGCGGCAGATGGCAATGTTGTCATAATCAATTACCGATATTGAAAATTCTTCTGTAGAGATATAGAAGAAAGTGATGCGTCTATGAAATTCAATCAAAAATCTAGAATCGAGCCAACATAGTCGAAAAAAAAGATGCTGGAAAAGACAAGCATAACTCGTTGAACTCTTTAAGTCACATAAAAATGTGTTCAGAATTTAAGAACTAATCGATTACCATGATCAGCTCGATTCTAGTCGATACATTGTGCATCTCATTACGTGTGAATGAGAATGTATCCTATAACAATCATTTTGTAAATATTTCAAAAAAAAAAACTATTTGATAATTAATATTAAAAAATGTTAGAAAAATCAAAATCTGATATCAAATTCGGATTACTCACCGACGATAACGTTCTGGTCAATTTTTATAGAAAATATGAGAAACTATTGTCATCATTAGTTCCAATAATTGACAAGTACCACATAGGAAGCCAATATAATCATTACAAAAGTTGTTTCTTCATTGGAACTAAATTTTCGGGTTCTACACTACTGAATGTATACAATGTCAAGTGCTATAGAAATTACTAAAAATTATCAATAATTCATGATGAAACTATTCAAAAAGTCAAAAGGTTGACGTAAGGTTCGGATTCTTCACCTATGATAGGTGATCACTGAAATTCCACAGAAAATATGGGCTTATTTTTGACTGTTCGATTTCTTACTATCAACGGAGAGTGAACTATTTTCTGCTTCATGAGATTTAATCTCCTGAGAATAGGATTACTTTAAAGAAAAAAATTGGAAATCTTTGAAACCGCAAACGGTTTTGTTTATTCATGCCGACATCAAAAACTATCTAAAAGGATTTTATATTATGATAATCATGATGGTGCGAGTGAGTGTAAATCATGTCTTCAGTTCTCTCACACCCACACTCCTCTAGAATTTTTCTAAGACAGACACAATCCTCTATTTATAATAAAAAATAATTACCTTTTTACTCTATGAAAAGAAAACATAAATGTAATCGTCTGAACAAAATATTTAATATTTTTTGTCAGATCGAATGATCAAATATCAACATTCATTAAATTCTTATGCTTAACATAAGCTTGATTATATGTATATTTAATTAGTAAAACTTATATTAGAATATCAATAGATTATTCAAACAAAATCACCTAAACTAGTGTGACAAACAATTATCTAAAAAGCAATTCATTTCAAAATTACATTGTTGAATACACTGTTGTTTTTTTTTCAACATTCTGTAGAAGCAATATATATACAAGGGGCGGTCCGTAAGTGTAAGTTTCCGTTGTCAATTATCTTCATGCCATTTAGTAAAATCCTCTGGGCCAATCATGATGACATCATGCGTTCTTGTTCACAGAGTGTCTTTGAAGACTTAATTGGATATGAACTTCTCAAAAAAAACTTTAAGCTGTTATTTTGGAAATGTTTATTTTTATCTTAATTTAGTTCTCAGCATAAAAAAATATTACCACTGGATCCATCTTAATTGCCTGTACACATCAACATAAATAGAAGTCTTAACTACGTCTATACTTTCCAATACCATTAATATTCGTGATATACGAAATTCAACTATTTTTTCGAAACTAATCAAGATTCTATGGAAATACTACTCAAAAGACATTGCAATTAAAGCCTTGTCAAATATCTCTTTCTCAATAGACTGTATTCTACTTAGTTGCTTTCTCACATGTTTATGTGACAAAGTACAATAGATAAGGTAGATAGCGGATCCATTGTGAAAGTTTTCGATGCTGAGAATTAAGCTAATATAAAAATTCAAATTTTCCGAAATAACAGTTTAGAGATTTTTTCTGAAGTTTGAGATCGACCTAACTTCTTAAAGATAGTCTATGGAGAAGAATTTTATGTCATCATGATCATTTCACGGAACTCTACAAATTGACAGAAAACCAATTGATAACAGAGACCTACACTTAGAGATCTTCCTTCGTTAGATAGTTTATATACATACAAATACAAAAATATCTAAAACAGAATGTCTCATTGATGTAAAACCACCGGCTATTTAACTATTGAAAGCAAATACTGAATTTAATGCTTATAGTCACGTTTATGTTGAGGATTTTGTCGATAACATGATTTTCCATACGGGCATTGAGCTTTATCAACATCATTATCATCTTTATTATCATTATTCGTTTTTTTTTCATCGTCATAATCAGAATCATCTGGATGTGATTGTTCAGTACGATGCAATGGATTTTTTCGATAACATGATGCACCATATGGACAAACTGGACGAGGTTTATCACTTGATTTAACTAAATTCCCAATGTAGACAATAATCAATAATAAATATCTATGCCTACTTTTTTTTGTAGAAACAGAATCAAATCCATCACTACTATCACTATCAAAGCTTTTTGTAACGGATGATTTACTTGGATTTGTAACTGATGTATCTAAAAAAAAATAGAAAACAAATATAGATAAACCAGATAAAATAGAACTCACCAGAAGTATTTGATAAATCATTAGTATTACTGTTCTTATCTTCTTCTGAATTCACTGTACAAAATTTATTCGAGATATTGTCATTATGACAAGTCTATACTTACATTGCCGTTTAACAGATGGACGATTGCTAGATGATGAATCATGCGAACAGGATGAACTCGATGTGGCCGTTGTTGATGCAACTGCTGAAGATGATGTTGACACTGTCATCCATGTTGGTAGTTTACGTGGTTGTCGATTTGAATTAGTTGATTCACACTCATTCTATAAAGTATATCCATAAATTATAATATATCAATATCACAAAAACATACTTGATCTGTGATAGAAAAAGTAGTAGAACTATGAGTATCTGGAATGTATGGCTTTGATTCAACATCTGGACTTTTTGTTTTTGATAAAGTGTCTTTAGATGATATTTTAGTTGATTTAACATTGGTATGATTATCAGAATCGACATTATTTATCGAACGATGTGACTGTTGATCAGATGATGTAGATAATTCATCTTTATTATTGTTTGTATCGGTAGAAAAGCTAATACGAAAGAAAAAACTTGTTGGTAATAAACCAATATGATCACCATCTTTTAATTCTTGTTCAACATCTTTGGTTAATTGAATTGTTTTACCACCATGAGAAGTTCGATAAAACACTGGATTGATATGAGTCGGTTTAATCCAAAGTGTTTCATCATTTTTAAGTAATAATTCAGCATGTTGACGAGAAATTTTTTTATCATTACACTAAAACAAAATTAATTTGTAAAAGATTTAAACAATAATTTTAACATACACCTAAGGATGATCCACGTCCAATAATAATTTTTTCATTTTTTTTTACTTTTATATGAGTACCTTCCGAAATTGGAATTAGTTCTACGTTACAACTCATTCTCTTGTGTAATTTCAATATTGTGTTAACATATCACATTTACTCACTCAGTTAGTTAGACAACACATAAAAACATAGGTTTTTAGTTTTCATCAATAGAAATTTTCAATAGAGGGAGCATGCTATCAGAATGCATAAAACGAAAGCAATTGTAAATTTATTTTGATTCACCTATCTTCGAAAAAAAAAAACGAAAGCTATTCATTACAATACAATTAAATCGCAATAAAAATCTTTTTACGATACATAAAACCAGCAACTATAGTCCAAAAGAAAACTCCATAAAGATGCATAGCAAGTAATTGTGCATGTGTTGTTTCTTCAACTTGAAATTGTATGGGAAAACTTTTTGAACAAATTTCATGACCAACATAGATAACAATAGAATTCATACCTAACCATAAAAAAGGTTCACCAGTAAAACATTTATTAACATCAATAAGTAAATAAAATATTGTTAAAATGACAAATGCTAAACCAGCTAATACAAGTATAAAACTAAGTGACCAAAGATTTTTATTAATTGGTATCCAACTATCTGTATGGCCACCTTTAGATAAAAGTAAACCAATAGATCCACAAATAAGACCAGATATAAGCCAATGAGCACAAACACGACGAGTACGTGTTGAATGAGCAAAACTATGACCAGCTTGGACACCAAGATAACAAAGTAAAGTTCCAGTTAAAGTACCCAAAAGACCTAACAACAACAACAAAAATTAAAAATTATAGTTCTATATATTTTTTTTTCTTGCCTTCAGGATCATACGGTATTTGAGTATCATAGATAGATTTACATGTCGGACTATTATCCATATGAGAAGGTCGAAGAATTAATCGATCAACGTATCCAGCAACTCCTAAGACAAAATGATTTAATCAATCAATAAAATTATTTTGTGTTTTCTTTTTTAATTAACCTCCGGTACAATTTTGATATTTTCCATATTCATGTTTTCCACCGGGACCTAAATAACCTCTTGGACAATTATCGAATTTTGGAATAAATGTAATCAATAGCCAAAGAAGAGTTATTAATAATATAATAAGCCATTGTGGCCAAAAATGAAATAAAGTATTTGATAGTTCTATTCGTATTCGTTGACGAACATCATTACCTTAATTAACAAATATTCACATGTAATGTTTCTTTTTTTTTTTTTGTTTTGTTTTTAAATTCAATTTTACCTAATGGCCATTGTGATGAATATGGTTCATCTTCTGTGTCATCAAAAATTAAAACAAGTATAGCAGCAAAAAAATAACACAATGCTAAACGTTGAAGAACACCAAAGATTCGAATATACACCCATTGTGAATAACCACCTTGTAATATCAAACCTAAAATTTTACAATAGAATAAAAAAAAAAAGAAATTTTCCTTGGCTTATCTCACCTAGCACGAAAAGTGTTAGAGTTCGCCGACATATTTTAAGAAAAATCATTCTTTTCCGTATATTTTTTGCACGCATAGAACAATTTGAAAAAACGATTGATACACCCATTATCCAAGTAAACCATGGAAAAACCAAATCAGCAACAGTTAAACCATTCCATACTATGTACAACAACAGAAATCTTTCATATCTTTAAAAGAGAACTTACTCGAATGTTTAAAAAACCAATAGCCACCACCTAAAACAAATAACAAATTTAAAATTAAAAAAAAAAGAAAATATTCTCTATAAATTATACCTCCATAATTAACAAATATCATTACCATTAATGAAAATCCTCGAAAAGTATCCAACGAACGAAGTCGTTTTGGTAAAACTTTTGTTATTCGTATCGTATTATTTGATAATCGTGTTGATCCAACTAATGGTAATTCACTACCAGTTGTAAGTGTACGAATAATATCATCATTAGGATCATTATGAATTGTTGTTGGATTATTTGGTAATGAAACAATCAAATCATTATTGATTAATCCTTGTTGAATAGCATTAGGAAGAAAACGAGTAAAACGTTGACTACGTGATATAGGATGCCATAATTGAATTAATAAAATAAATATTAAAAAAATTGACATTCCAATAATAATAGGCAACCAATAATAACTTGATTCTTTTATTTGTTTTATTGAACAAAAATCTTGATTTTGTTCAATATCGATAATTTCAAATAAATATGATCCATGTTCTAGAAATTGATGTGATTTTATCGAACATTGTAATGTTTTATTAGTAGTTTCTGTAAAAAGTTGAAAATCATAGGCATATCTTGTATTGATTATAACTGTTTGATTTGAATTAGATGGAAGAACATCACCTAATAATTCAAAATTACATTTTTCACATATTACTAAATTATACATAAATATAATCGAATCTGAATAATTTTTATTGCTAATTGTTAGATAAGCTTGATCCATACTCAATGGATCTAATGAATCATCATTGATAGATTGTGTTTGACCATATTGAAGAAACTCTTGTATAGTAATAAAAATCCATAGACAATAAAATGATTTCTTCATTATGTATTTAATTAATTATCAAAATAAAAACAATCAAATTATTCAGCAGTGTTTGCCTTTCTAACTTGATTATGTGACAAAAAAAAATATATCAAAAAGTTGTTGCACACCTATTTTTAAGTCAACAATCCACATCCATTACATGAGATCCTTATCAATTTTTCATCTGTCGAAAAAAAGTACCGACATATCTTTCATCGAGTTTTGCTTGTTGTTTTAAACAACAATTGACAAGTCATAGTAAGATGTTACTGACACTTAAGCAACGAATGAATTATTCTTGATGAATATCAAAATTTAATACTTTTTCTTTCGTACAAAACATGATGGACAACAACTTTTTTATGCACGAAAGAAAACAGTAGAAAATATCTTTTTCGATGTTTCTAGAGAGATTACTGAGCACAGATTGTTTAGATTCTAAACAAAAAAATATCCATAGCTTTCATATATAAAAGAAATATCTTTAATTTCTTATTCACATTGTGACATACACATTTACCTATATTGATTAATCAATATATTTGTTTCTTTGGCCATGGTAAAACTCAATACGTTGGTGACAATTGAACATAGCATAGTATTAGATTGACAATGATTAAATAAAATTCTAATAGATTTGAAATCTTTTTTTTCTTTCGAATTTCAGTATAGTAGATCGAAGATAAATATAGTACTCATTTAATATTGTTGAGACAAGCTGTCGATCATCACATTAATTAATATTTAATCATTTTTGTTATGATTTAAGATAAATGATGATTTTTCGCTTCGATATATCAACGAATCAAAAGAAAACTTTTTCTCATTTTTCTTTTTTTGATGAAACTTTTGGCCATTTCTTCTCATATTGTCTCTTGTAGTTTATTTAGTTGTAAAAATTAAATGAAAAGCTTTGAACTTGTGAGTGAAGATGATAATTATCTAGAAAATAATTTTATTTACTTGTCAGTATTCAATTTCATTTTTTAAAGATCATTTTTGAATGATTATGTCATTATTCTAGTATGCTTCATAATTTTACAACATATCGTTGATCTATGAGAGCGAGTTTTTACATTAGACAATAAATGTTCTCACATAATGTTTCAACAATGCATTAATGAATTTTTTTGTTTTATCGAATTAGACTTAACAAATAAAGAATAAAAATGTATTCTATTTAAATTTAAAAAAAAAATGAATTGAGATAAATCAATAGCATGATTTTATTTTAAATATTATCTATTGAAAATTGCCAACATAGACGGATTGATCGTATATAATTCATGTAAATAGCTTTATCAATTTTTGTGTTCTATTAAAAAAATCAAACAATTTTATTGTTGCCGAATTTTATCTTAATAGAATAGGCTTGTTCATTTTTCATATGCATCCATTGAAAAGACGATATTTCAATGGCAAAAAAAAAATAGTCAAGATATTAACCTTGGTAATATTTTAGTTGTCATCATATCTACTTGTATGAATGTTTTCATCGAAAGAGAATGAAAAAAAAAATGGGTGGTTGACTAAAAATATCTTTTCCATATCTTTCACTTGATCATATTTTGATTGCTTCAATTTATCCTTGTACATTATATGTTTTACCGACTGATGTGTGCAAAGAAAAATGAGCATTAAGTTACATAAATTATATCCGACATAATCGACCGAAGTATCAAGACTGAAGAATATGGATAAGATCATTTTTTGTAGATTTATTTCAGGCCAAAAAAGGTAAAAAAAATAACGATTAGTTATTATAAGCTTTTCATGATGCATTAGTGTGCAAATATCCTACCTCCACCGAATGCATCCTAAAATGGTTTGTCATTTCTTTATTTCTGTTCTTTTTCTTTCTTTCATCCCACACTCGATATATAAGCGATATACGGTCTGTTTATTTTTCATTTCTATTCTGTATTTTCTTTTGCTAGCAACATAATGGCAACACAAACATCAGACGATATTAAACTTCGACTTCATTATTGGAACTGTCGTGGTCGTGTTCAAAGTGTTCGTTATATGCTTGAAGATATTGCATATGCACATAAAAATGTTGATTATAAAGAAGATTTTGAATTACTTGAGAAAAATACTGAATTATGGCCTATACACAAGGCTGATGAAACAATTTCCGGGCCATTTCGAAATTTACCTGTGCTTCATTGGAATGATACACATACTTTTGGTCAAACTTTAACATTAGGTTTGTTCAACTGATAAAAAATAATCATTATCTATCTTTTATTTTCATAGGACAATTATTGGCAAGAAAATTTGATTTATATGGTAAATTAACATCATCTACTAATGATGTAGATCTTTTACATGGTTATATTGATGGTGTTGTATCATGTGCATATACTGATGTTATTTCGAGTGTTTTAACTTGTATATGGAACTGTGTGAATTTTGCCGATGAAAATAATCTAGCGGCTCGCTTAGTTAAAAAGATTACAAACGATTTAAAAGCCTTGAATAATTTACTTAAAAAAAGTTCAACATCATTTTATTATGATCAACCAGAACCAACTATTGCTGATTATTTTGTTTTTGAAGCATTTACAATAACACGTGATTATAATGCAAACATATTGCCAAATGAAGAAGATTGTCATGCATTAAAAAAACACGAACAAATCATGAACGAACGACCAGCATTAGCTAATTATTTTAGTAAAGGTTTATTATTTAAACGTTTTACTGGATCACCAAAAGAAAACGAATATATGGCAACAATAGCTGAAACAAAAAAATAATTTTATTCTTTTTTTTTTAATCTCTTTGAAAATAAAACAACATGCATATCTAGATAGCTGGAATTTTATTTACTTAAATCAAATAAACATATTTATCGTTGGATATAAAACGAAATACGAATTAAAATATTATTAATTGATTCTTCACATTGATTTTAACTAATATATATACGATTAGGTATTGAATATTAGTCATGACTCACGAATTGAGATTTGCGGCAATAAGTTTTTTTGATTCTGTTCCTTGTTCGAGAGAAATCTATTTCAGAATTCATTCGTATCACATTTTAAAAAAAAATTTTCAATACTCATTTTTTCTTTAATCAACAACTAGCACTTTTTTGGATAATCTCTATTGAATTATGTTCTGACTGATGATATATAAGATAATTCGGGTAAAAACATAGAATATTTAACTATAATCTATAGTTCTGATTGGAACCACTTTTTTCTCGTAGATCCGTTGTTGATCTCAGAAGTTTCTCTTTTTCGTGGTCTCTTGACATCTCTACTATGATGTCTACATATACAAATATCTTTTGATTTTAATTAAAATCATGTCTACAATAAACAAATTCAAATCAAATCAAATTTCGACTTTACTTTTGAAATTGTAGTAGTTGAATTCAAGTATGTCTTTAAATGCTTAAATATATCTCATATAGACATAGAAATATTGATTATAAAGAAATAGTAATTATTACCTGTGCATATATTGATGCTATACTGGTAATTATTTAGACTAATTAGTTCTAATATTGAAGATAAAAATATTCTTGAATATGATCCAATTGAAACAATTCAGAACGGCACTGAATCATTAAATATATTACTTCAACATCACTTTTCTATGATTAAATACAACTAACAATTGCTGATCATTTTACTTTTGAAGTAGATTCTATAGTACGTGATAAACATTCAAAATGATTACTAAATCATTGTGAAGCAATATTAAAACTTGAAAAAATTATGAAAAAACGACTAGCATTGATTAATCATTTTAAGAATGATCGATTATTGAAATGTTTTATTCAAATAGTAAAATCATTTGAGACATATGTGAATAAAAATAAAAAAGAAACAACATTGGTATATAACTGGTGGGTATCTAAAAATGTTTTTTCAGGAATATAACATTCTGATTCCAATAACATCAACAATCAACTTTATACTAGATTAAAATACGTCGAAAATAGGATTTATCAATACTAAATAGTAAGGGCTATGACAACTTTTCAGTGTTGAATTCAAGAAATTCCTAAAATTTTAGGTCATATTAACAGTTCATAAAGTAATATTTATTTCATTTTAACTATTTGATAAATATAATCAATAATTAGTATGACAACTATTAGCATTTCTACAGCAAGAAGATAAGATGGATACGCCCATAAAATTATTTCAAAAAAGTCAATGTTTGTTCTCATGTTTGTCAAAACAAATGAAATATGTTGGTTAGAATATCTTCATCATAAAGATTGTATTCGATCTCGGATAGCACTTTTTTTGAACTATATTTTTGGAAATATTGTACCAACATTTCCAGATCAGGTATCCAACAGTTCATGATATTCATTATTTTAAATTCGACACTCAAAAGTTGCTTTGACTCTTATTATTGAGTATTGATAAATTCCATTTTCGACGCGCTTTTATTTGATATAAAATTTGTTGTTGATATTATTTGAAATCAGAGCATTACCCTTGTAGAAAACATTTTTAGGCATCTTGCACAGGAATGTCTACTAAATCATTGTAGCAAATTATCGATGAGAAGTAAAAAGATGCTTTACATTCATTGAAAGAGGAGGATTCAAATACTACAAAAGAAGCTGCTTCATCTTCGAATGGCGAGTTCTGGTCGAGTCTCTTGCGAATTCAAAATTCGAATGATGCATAAATAATAAAACATCTGAAAAATTGTCTGAAGAATACAGCGACTGCAAAACCGATATTGGCAATTGAAAAAATATTTGAAAAGAATACGATTCTATCATTGGATAATTAGCCAATGATTACACTCAGTTGTTTTAGATAATATGCGTTTGACGTGTTCATTTAATATTTTAAATTGTGATGGCTTTTGCAGTTATGCCAAACAGCGACTGAAATGAGTTAAAAAAAATTAGACTCGACTCGCTTTCAGTCTATAATTAATTTTCGCATGACACATTCATCGCATAGATATGTGTAACGAAGCGGTAGCACCTAATGGACTATTGACAAATCAGTCTTGTATTATCCCTATCATTAGGAAATTGCAGGATAAAGTAGGGTAGAGCATAGAATACCAAAAAGCTTTACCTTGGAGGATTTTAATTTCAAAAAATACAAAATGGTGCAGAACAAAGTTCTCAATACTATTAATCAGTTTATCACTCACGACTTTTTCAACGTCGAAAACAAGTACTTAGAAGTCGAGAGTGAAACTTATATACAACAAAAACCAATTGAACAAAATTCTGATGACGAAACTTACAGATGCATAACTCACATTCATCATTATTAATTCACATTTGTTCGGTGCTCTACAAAACGATGATATGCTTGATTGTTCTCAGGTGAGCATCGCATTTGGCACTAAAAATAGACTTGTAAATGTCAATTACGTCTTTTATGATCGTTAGACTATTCGCCCAGAAACAATAAATAATTTTCAATTGTTTGTATTATCAATTTGTTCTCATCTTAATGAACGCATTCAACGGCATATTCTGACAGAAACATGAGATCTCTGGTGAAACGATATCGTTAAATATTTCTACCTCGATTTTAATGTTTCCTGAGTAGATAATAATAACTAATTTCACCATGATTTCCATCGTTTCAACACACTCTCTTGATGCAACGAAGATAGCAACTGAAGTCTACGACGAAGTTAAGAGGATAAGTCAGATTTTTCATTTCTTTTCCGACAATCCTTCAATTGCTATGGACCAAAAAGCTAGTCTGGTTTTCGCCTTCAAATTGTCCAAATTTTTGTCGCTTAAGCAAGTACACTGGTGTGATACAGCAATTGAAACTGTCCGGAGTTCACATAATTAAAAAAAAAAAATTTTTTCCACTTTCCGTTCATTAGTAGTCAACCATAAAACACATACAGGTATCTGAAAATTCTTTGGCATATCTCATTTTATAGAGCTTTCCCGGCTAATCACTTTCTTAAACAATATTTTGTATCTTTATCAACAAATAATGGTGCTACGATCGAGTTACTGTAAAACATCAAATTGTTCTAGAATTCTGGAGCAACTTGTAGCTTTCTAATAACTTTACCCTAGCATCCTTATTTGCTGATATAAAATAAAATTATTTTTTTTACGAAAATGATTAGCACGAACAAGTCTATAAAATGAGATTTGTCAAAGAGTTTTTAGATTAGTGTTTTTATAGTTGAGTACTTATAGAAGTGCTCTGTTAAAGTTAACTGTAGCCGTCCGACTTCTTGAGCAATATTCTATGTAAAAACATCGTCAATAAATTAAAAATTCGAGAACATTTAATTGACTATGTAGCCTTATTTGCAATCGTCTTTAAAGTCATATATAAAACAGTTGATATACTATTCTCTTTGATTTTCATCGATATTGCTCGTCTTCTAAATTTTCCCACATTTATGATTAAAGCTTTTCATGTTCGTTGTGTAGGTGGAATAAACGGTTGAATACATAAGTATTTCAGTTCTTAAATTATATTGAAAATATGGCTCTGTGCGTGGATAATCAGTTCAGGCATACATATATTCACATCATTCATGTAAGAGTTCTCTTTCTATTTGTTTTATGAAAATTATATTAAACAAAACTTTAGAAGAGAGCATATCATTTTAGAAAAGGAGATAGAGACCGACTCATGAAAAAAACATGTAGCCACTGAGTTTACACTTTATACCTATAGTTATTGACTATTAATATAAAAGTGCTTGGATAATTTTAGCTTCTTTCTTCATATGTCATCCGAAGATTTGGTGTCACAAATTTTGCCGAACAACAATCATCTTGCCTCTGTCTGACTAGAGTAAAACAAGCAGATTCGATATTTTGAATTGAAAATGTAGCCATAGACCGCATGGCTATCAACTTGCAAGTGCTCGAAAAATGTTTGCTCATTATCTTATTTCTTTTTCAAGATATTCCCATTTAAGCAAATGTAGTAGTGGATACGAGCAGTTTCAACTAAGTTGCGTACACTTTCATGTTTATATACACATTTTGCGGGAAAATATAACAGATAATTGCGACTATAGCCTAATCCTGTGGAGGTACATGTAGTACTGTAATCGTGGTGAAGCGAAATTGCATCGCTAGTTGTATCGTTAATAGTGATTGACAGCTTGTTTCTTTTTTTCATGTAAATTATTTTGTGTGCCTTTCTAGTAAACGAGATTTGCAATTTCAATTTTCTACACTTTCATTGTTAGCATTTTCTCAGTATGTAAAGAACTATGATGTTTCACCTACTTGTTTTGCATATATGATCACAGATAAGTTATAACAAGTTTAACGAGAGATAAAGTAGTATATTTTTCAGATAAAATATTTTCAAATTTAGGCATGTATCACGATTCATTTAAAAATGAAATGAGAACCTAGACGATAATAATATGAATACACTCTGATAAGAGTTCTCGCTAACAGTCTAAACATAGTTGAAATCAAATAAACCTTTGTTCAATGATCGATCACACTGAAGAACGACATATGTACTCAAGCAGCTTTATCCATCTATTGATAAATCAATGCTTTTTCGAGGTAAAGTTTATCATTGCTAGAGCAATACGACATTTTCGTCAAGCAATTTTATCCAGAAAAAGCTATTATTCATCACCGATAGAACACTTTCACCTTCTGCTTAGGCACTTGTTGATAAAAGTGCTGCTAATGCTTTGACATCAATCTATAGGTGGTGTTGAATACTAATGCACTTTCTTCGTACAGACTGACAGTGCTTATTACTACACACAATGAAACATCGAAGAGTCATTTTTTTTGGGGCAGTTGTCATTCTATAGTAGTTTGCGATGGGATGTATTTTTATGTCAAGTACTTCTGTTCTTTTTCTCGTCAGTACTATTAGTGCTTCATTTTGGCTCTCGATAAATGAGACGCAAACATAATTACCTGTGTTGATTCATCATAAGGTTTTTTTTTGTTTGATACTTTCTTCTACCAACATTAGAAATAAAGTAACCGAACAAACAGTAGACAACTTCATGTTTATCGTTAAATAAAATAATTAACAAATTCTTACAAATTCCACTTTCAACATATTGTATTCTATTCAGGACGTTTTATGACATGGGTTCAACGGATAAAGATATAAAACATCGAAAGTAAAATATCGTAAATTAGAATTCTTTGTAAATCCTGAACGAAATACTTTGTCAAATTTTTGATGACTGCAATAGACCTAGGAAACGTATGCACATATCAGGTTAGTGAGAATGTGGACGAAATTTTCAATCTAAGGGAAGTCAGGATTTTTATTTTGTGTTCTCCAAATTGTCACTTGCAGCATTTGCCCATTAAACTGCTTTCACATTTTAAGGAACATAAAAAATTGACAAAAAGCCTAAACTAAGCCAAGTGAAATTATACAGCCTAATGAAGGCTACTGGCAGAGACGAATATTCTATCCTCGAAATGTACGATCAGTGTATGAACTACTCGTCAATTTATTGAATATAACAATTTTTTCTGTGCGACATTAGAAAGAAGAAGATACTCTTTCAGTTATATTTGATAGAAATAAATACGCGTCAAATAAAAATCTACATAGTTCTCAATATTTTTCCAAGTTTTTGTCACGGAGATTAAATCTTAAAACATTTTTACGTTTTATTTTGTGAATGACTGCTTCAAATGGGAGTTTTCTCATTATACCTTGCGCTACATTTGTATACCTGAAATCTACATATCTATCTATAGAAGCAAAATCTGCATATCAAAATTCTTCAATGTGAGTTTCTTGAAATATTGCTATCCTGCTGGGAAAGACACGCTAGAAAAATGCAACATATATCAATTCAAACTAAGCAAAAGTTTTCAGTCATTTGTCGATTTTTGAATATCGGCTTTAGCTTGGTAGTTTTCGAACAATATTTGGAAGTTTTTCTCCCGACAATTAAGTTTGGAATGTTCTGTTACTGACTTTTTGACTTCTCATCGTCCAAGCATTTTCAGTTCAACAGTGCTCTAGGAAATAAAATCGCTTCTTCCTTTCAGTAGTCTCATAAATAACTCATCACATTTTTGTTATTAAGATTCTTCAACGATCAACTATGGCTCGTTAAATAGTTCCTATTAGAACCTTCTTTGACTTATTACTGTCTCCATGATATCTTTTTTGCGATAACCAATATCGTTTTTCTCTTTCTATGTTCAAATTTGACAAGCAGTCAAGTTAAAGCTTGTGCTGTTTTCAAATGAACATGGACAGCAATGTGCTAAAGGTGACACGGTCCAGGACGACTTTTTCGAAAAGGTGAATGTGTCGCCAATGAGTAAACAAAAGCATTCCGTTGAGTTCATCAAGCGAATGTTTACTACTAACGATCGAGACAATTCAGGTACGTTTTATGCTTGATTTTTTTTATTATAGTACTCTGAAGAAATGGCTTCATGTATTTTTCAAGCTCAATCAGCTGATAGGAAATTTCCGATCATTCAAAACACATTGGTTTCATATAAAAAGATAGGTCAATTCGCTATGATGTAAAACTTGCTTTAGAAAAGGATGAAAAAAAGAACAACTTTTCTTTTACTGATAATGCTCTGCTATTATGAAGAGTTGCTGTATTTTTGGCCGTGAACATATTACTGAATGCTGTATGAAATATTTTCTTTTCTTTCTATGCTCCAGATTGGCTGATGGGAAGGAGATCTATAAACGTCAGCTTGTTTAAATATGAACTTGAATGCATCGACATTTTCTATTTTCAAAGCACTCTGATGAAATAAAGGAATAAGTACGAGTACTATCATTTTGTCGATAGGCTAACGTAGGAAAGTTATTGAAGACTCACATGAATACATAGAGCATAGCAGACTAGGCTAGGAAACTCCAAAAGTTCTTGTCATGCGTTTAAAAACCTGACATATTCAAAAAAATATGAACAGAAATGAAATGAACTGAAAGGAGCACCAAGTATTTTGCTATACAGAAACGAATCATTTTCGACAGACCAAAAAATTATTATGGAATTACTGATTGCATTTAGAAATTATTCAGAACTTCAAATACGAATAAATTCAATCAATCTTTTTCCTTATTATAATTTGCAGAAAAGATTGATTCATACGAAATTTGACTATGGAGAGCAGCATTCAATACAGCAAGTCCATCTATACAAATGATATTTCTTTTCAAGCTGTGTGATATTGATCGTGATGGTCTTCTTAGCCAATCCGAAGTCGTTGATGTTGTAGTACTCTTCTTGTTACTGTGCACCGATAATTACAAAAGTAAAGAAAAGAGAGAATGAAAAACTCCATGGCTAAACTCAAAAGCAGTATCAATAAGTTATTTGATGGTAAAGAAAAAATGTCTGAAAAGGAGTTTCGTGAAATCTGTGCCGAAAACAAGCAAGTTAAGTACGTCATGCAATATTTAGACCAATATTTATTTACTATTAGGTTTGGTGATGACAGATTATTTCAACCAGTAAAAGCATCATCAATGCACTCTTCTCAAACATGGATTCACTGCTCTCACAATATCTTACCTTGACATTTGATGATTTCACTTTTGCTATTATATTATATGCACGTATTTAGTACGTCGTAATAAATAATCGACATGAATTAATTCGAATATTGACTGTGATGGTATGAGAAAACAAAAGTTCAATGTCACCTTAATTCTAAATCAATCAATTGTATCATGTAAAGATGCGTCCAGGAGTGACTGGTAGTCGATTTGCATCTTAAGAATCCAGATAAGATGTTGTTTCATCAAATCTCTCTCACAATGATTGGCATGACTGTCGGATGAGTCATCATGCTGAACTCTGTAGCAATATAGGAATTGTTTATCTCTTGCCATTAGTAATCATTAAAAACAGTGACTATATATTGACTTCGAGAAAAATGCATAATAACTTTATTAGTTAGTCATAAGAAACGACAAGAAACTTTTCGACTGTACGAAGAATCGTGCAATTGAAATTTTACGAGAACTACTTGATTGCATGAAGTTCTATTGCCATAAAGAATCTCATGAAAGTTTGTTTCATATGCAATAAGAAACTGTCAACCCCTTGATGTCGTTCATTTTCAATAGATTTCTATTCTATCAATTGTACGATTATACATGACATCTATGCATAGTGTTTTCTGTATTGATAGGTAAATATTGGACTACAGTGTAGCTTCGTATGTCAATCGGTTGGTAGCAGGCATAACAAAATCAACGGTGAAAGAAAAATGTCTGTCGCAATCATTCATCAATCATTTCTGATCATTCAACAATTTTTTCATAAATATCGTACGACTATTCTCATCGCTAGTAGCACTGGTATTCTAGTATAAAGCAATATTCTTCAATTATTGCCATCGTTCTGCTTTTGTCTGTAGTGACGGCAGCACTTCTGTTTAATAAATTATATATCACTCGTCAATCCTATCCAAGTAAACAATCTATACAAGGCAAAACTGTACTAATCACAGGAGGAACAGCTGGTATTGGCTATGAAACAGCAAAGGATCTGCTTCAACGAGGTTCGATTCAGTAGGAGTGCGATTTTCCTATTAATTTAAATTAGAAAAAATTCAATTTGTTTTAAAGTTGGATGATTTGGACTTTGAAATTTATTAAATAAAGAATTAAACTAAATTATTTTATTTTTCTTGTGATACTTCATGTAAGCAATATATCCTATTTTTAGCAATCGATTTATTCATGCGTCATGTGCTATACAATATTTTCATGTAACCAATGGTAGGAGACCTCAATTACTTCCATGTGTTCTATTACAATCGAACTGCTACGTAGTTACACACGTCACTACGATCAAAAAATTGCAGCTGCGCGTAACTACGATTCTTTTTTCGTAACGACGTGTAAATGCGTCACAGTTTTTTGTAGTGACGGATCGCAGTTGCTAAAAACAAGACGACATGAGAATATATCTCTTACATAGAGTATCACAAAGAATAGAATAATTTCGTTTAATCTTTTATGTAATAAATTACAAAGTACAAATTATCTAAATTTCAAATAAATTAAATTAAATTATTGTTCATTTAATTTACTTGTAAATTGATACCCCTATAATTCAGTCATATCATGATCTCCCAATATGAATGAAGAGATATTTAGGAGCTCGGATTATTATTGCTTGTCGAAATTTGCACAAAGGACATCAAGCAATGGACAAGCTTTTAGTTGAAACTGGTGTGAATAAAAATAATATTCGATTGATGGAATGTGATCTTTGTTCATTGGAATCAGTTCGAACATTTGTCAAACTATACAATGAAGAAGAAGAAAGGCTGGATATCTTGATTTGTAATGCTCGTCTTAGTTGGTCGTCACCTATTATGACTAAAGATGGTTTCAATGTAGTGATTCAAGCCAATTATCTGGGTCATTTTCTTCTTACAAACCTTCTATTAGATAAATTAAAAAAATGTCGACCAAGTCGTATAATCAATGTTTCATCTGAACTGCATGACAGTAATAAACTGATTAATAAGAAATACAAAATATTTCTTTTTTGAAATGAAAACTAGGCATACAGTCAATTAATTGGTCGGATATTTTTACACAATTTCGAAATCCTCATTGGCATGGTGCCTATCCATCATCGAAGCTATTTCAAATTTTATCGACATTCAAACTGAAACGCGATCTATTCGGTAATATGTCAAATGATAGTTACTGTTTGTTTCGATGGTATTTTTCTTTAAGCTGAACATATCGATGTTTTTTCATTGACTCCTGGATGGTTCTCGACTTCACTTAGTGGATCATCAGCAAACACGATTAGTTGGTTTGCATACAGTCTTTATCATCCATTTGTACGTTGTTTGAAATTCGTATTTGTTAAAACACCCGAAATTGGTGTACATACAGTTGTTTACTGTGCTGTTGAACCGACACTGGAACAATCACATGGTTTATATTTTCAGTAAGTCACATTTTTTCTGGAAGAAGAAACAAAACAGTTTATATTTGTGTATATATTTCTTTCAGAAATTGTACTGTTTCACGACCATCATCATTGGCGAGCGATCAGATATTGGCTGAACGACTTTGGAAGATGAGTCTTGAAGCAGTTGGACTTTGATGGTTAGAAAAGAGAATTTTTACAATTTTCTACTAGCTGACTTATACTGATTAAAATCTCTCTTTAGCGTGAGAATATTACGAATTTATCGACTTTAATAAGTAGTAGATAAAAAGCTATCATATTGTGAGTTTCTAACTTGATCTTACCGAATTATATGGTGTCATCGCCAACTATTGGTCAGTCATCGAGGGAGAGAATTTAAACTTAAATTCTCGGAAAGCTGGACACATTATTGCAAAGAGAACGATCGATGGTATTTGAAATGGCAAGTTTTCTATTCATTAGCAGTATTAAGTGCTTTGAACACGTGAAATCGTTCTGAGAGTGGACAACTTGAAATTTTGTGTGAAAGATGATAGTAGAACATCTTCTTAAACATGCATAAATCCGATACGAAGTATTGTTTCAACAAGCCATCTGTATTTTTGATGAAGTTTCGTACAAAAACTCTCTTAGACTATATTTTGCTCATTTAAGTTATGATTTAATATTCGCATTCGTTTTCTAAAAATACTACATTACGCAATTTCATTACAATTCGAATTTCGCGGTGTTTTTCGACCATTCAGCTTTTTGCACTGCTTTTGTTCATACGTATGCAGATATTTGAACATATTTGAAATAAGCATCGAGTCCTGAACGAAGTGGAATTTTTAGTCAATCAAAGTTTCAACTTTTTATTTCTCTCGAAAATTTCTCAAATCGAGAAGTTAAAAAGTTTTTCCGCAGGATTCTCATAAAAAATACATTATTTGATGCAGAAGCTGATTGCTGGTGACCTATATCTAGTGGCTTTTTGACTTCTTTTGCTTTCGTTCTGATCCAAACGACGATTTTCGGGAAAAAGATGAAATTCCGTAATAAATACTATATTTAGTTCTGAAAGGGTGTTAAAAACAGAACAATTTTTAAAAAGAAAATTTATCTGTATGTCGCTTCGTTTCTTACTAAAATGCTTAGCTCTCTGCTATGCTGAAAATCAACTTCCATTTTTTGGAATTCTGTGACGGCCAGTATTTTCTGAATAGCTTAACTAGAACTTACGAAAAATCGGTAAAATTTCCATTGACAGTATATCTAAATGGTGTCTATCCATAATAAAAGTTTTCAAGAAATTGCTGTTTGCCATTGACGACAAATAGATGTTACAATATAAAAAAAGCGAAATTCCGTAGCTCTTGGCCACGCCGATGGGTGTTTTGAATAAGGTTCGGCAAAGGGAAGTCATATCTCAAAAAAATAGAATAATCTATGCTTGAGCTAAAATTTTATCTTTAGATAGATTTTATTGATCACTAAGAATCTCTCAACACTTGAGACAACTTGCTTTTATCATGATATAAAATCAAGGAGTAAAGTGTGAAATCCTGGAATTCTCTCGAATTCAATAGAGTGCCTCAGAATTTCCAAAAAAGCTCCTAAGAACCTGTACAAGGAGGCCATCCGTGTCACCAGAGCTTCCTGTATTTATATCTATTTTTCATTTTTTTTATTCATTTGCGATCACCAATACATGTACATGTCAATGACTTGTTAATTCTGTTGTGATGTATTTTTATTAATCATAACCTAAAATACATGCTAGAAGAGATAAATTTTATTAGTCATGATTAAAAATACAAGCTTTCGAATGACCAAGCTATGAAAAACGTAATGAGAAATGCTCCACTACATATGTAAGTATGGTAAAAAAAAATTCTACGATAGCAATAAATCGAAGGACTTAATAGTTCAAGATTTCCTAGAGTTCCTTCCAATTCCAGGATTCCGCTCTTTAGCCCTTGACTTGAATACGATAAACAGTAGATGAACTCAGATGCGTATGTTCAGCAAATTATTCAGTATGAAACTTGGCGATGTTATTGTGAAGACCTTGAACAAAGAATTCTATACCAATAACAAGATCTACTTTCATCATCCGCAATGATCGATTGAGCATTGAAAAAAGAAAACATAGGTTAGTATACCACCTGACCGGGTCATATTCACGGTATTCCCGTTTGAGTTGATCGACAATGTTCAGTTGACTATTATTATTCTGGAATAGTTGACGACAATATAAAATCAAATCATTGAAATATTTTTGTTGAAAATCGATGGTTAATAATATTTCTTTTAGTATCTGAGTGTACATGAATGATGGATTTAGTTGATTCCAGATTTGGTTTGCGCCCTTCACTACTAGTGGGTACAAAGCTAATGTTAATTAGATTTTGATCGCATTTGTATGCAGTTTATTGAAGGTCTTCAAATATAACATTAATATTTTTTCAATGCACCATTCACTTTTGGTCATTGTTTGGTCCGACTTTCATCTTGGGTTTGATTTTCATCGACAATATAGATATTATTGATTTGTGGAATGTCATGGACGATAAGAACAATTGTTTGCCAGAAAAACATCAGAAAAGATCATGAATATTTTTTGTTCTTGAATATTGATTATAAAATCGATGCATTTATTTACATCAATGAATGAATATATTTTGCTCACCACTTCTCTTAATTTACTGATGGTATAGATACAATCGGTGTTGGTTATCTCATCGATATTGGTATAAAGCCATATCAGTAGAAAGTTCTGAAACGTATGATCATAAGGAGTTCGTCGTGAAACTATGCTCATTTATTCAGAAGGCATAGCAGTAACAGTTGTTGTTATCGACTTTTCCTTTTGGTCCATCGTAGATATTGTGTCTTGTCGATGGAAAAAATAAAATATAGTGACTTGAGTTTGCGTAGTTTGTTGAAATCTTTTCTAGGTGTTTTAATTTCTTTTTGATTATTTTTGTCGTTTGAATACTTTTTTCTGTTTTGTGAAACACGATCTAAAAGAAGTGTTGAAATGTATAGAGTACAAATTCATACCGCCCCACCACACAGGCCGTGACAGATACTTTTGATACACGATTAGCGATCATATATCACTAACATCTCATTAGCACGTATGAACTGCTGTCTTCTTATAGTTCTAGAAGATTAAGTGAAACATGATGAAAAATGGGTCCCAATATGCATCGAGTAAAACAATATTCTCGTGATTAGTACTAATAGCTACATCATGTTTAACATTTTAATCCTGCAAAGATTACATTAACAGCTTTTTTTCAGTTAAGTGCATCACTCTTCTTTTTTTGTTGTCGTCTTCGATGTCACAATAAAACGAACGGATAAAAAAAACAGTGCAACCTAGTTTCATACACTTGTCACATTACATTTTCTTTTAACAAAGTCTGAAAGTTGTTTTACTTCTGCCATGAGCAAGACATCCGATAGTAAGATCAATCACAGATTATTAAACGTTCGTATCGCATCGTATACCCCATTATCGTATATAATCATATAAGACCATGTACGAAAAACCGTAATGTTTGAAAAACTTACATCAAGTTTTGATTTAACCACGGTTTTTTCGTACGATTTTCGTCAAATCTTACAGGATTATATAAGATCAGAGGTACGATTTTGTGTGATCTAACTATCTGTTTGTTTGACCTGGANCTGAAAGTTTCAGCTAAAAAGAATGTTCCTTTCTTAAGATATTGAATTTTCAAGTGAACTCGGTTTTTGTGACCAATCTGTGGCAGGCGACTATTTTTTGAAAATTCAATATCTCAAGAAAGGAACATTCTTTTTAGCTGAAACTTTCAGGATATTCTAAGGGCCATTAGATCTATCTATAGGCGAAATATCAAGCTGAAATTCCCTATTTTGATTTTTTCGTAAATGCCTGGAAATGGGTCGAAAATTCAATACAACGACCATAACTTTTGAAGAAAAAACATTGAGGGAAAATCCCTTTAGGCTTTTTACTACCTCAATATACTCGATTAAATGAGATACGAACAAATCAAAACGGAGGGTATCATCTGAAAAGGTTCCCTCGTAAGACTACTTTAGTTTTATCATATGTTTATCGTTATTCTATACGTGCATGTTTAGATGTTTCTATTGTGAAAAAAAAGACATTTCGTTCATTGACACATTGTTTTATGATTTATGATACAGACATAAACACAAAGTTAATGTACAATGATAATTCAAATACAATGGATGACATCGATAGTATTCAAATATGTAATTGCTACTTTTTTTATATTTCTAAAGACGTTGTTAAATTTTTTCCGTATTTCATATATGTGTACAAACTTCTGTTTGTAAAACTGTTTATATCATAGAAAAAAAAAACATGAATGAAAGAAAATGTTATTAAATATCTATTTATTTTTGTCTACAAAGAATTAACAAATGTATATAAAATGTAGCATAGATATAATAGCAAAGAGAGTTCTTTTGTTTATTAAGATAGGTTCAAAGAATTTAACGAAATTCTAATTGACCTTCAACGCCGTTGAATTGTGGAATAGTAAGACCATTTTTAAGTAAAAATTTTCGTTTTAAATAACCATAAAGTAAATCAGAGACGAGAAATGTCTAAAATTTAAAAACAAAAAATTAATATAAGTTAACTTTCTTAAGCAATGATTCTTTTCAAGAAACATTATACATGCCAGAACAATTTAATGTTACAATTAACTTATATAAACAGTCTTCGTTATCAAATAATGAACAATAAAAAATTTTCCATATAATGAGACTTTATCATTACATTCTTTTATAAAAGAACAGACACTATACTCTTTTACATTGACTCCTAGATATACTTTCAAACCAAAATTTAATATTTCTCACCTGTGCAACATTGAATACCATTGTCATTGCAAAATAAAAATTAGCATTAGCACTACCCGTATAAATCCAAAGATACCATGTTATCGGTGCCATTAAAATGGCCACAAGGACCATGCAAATAATAATAAGACCATGTCGTACATCTAAACAACAACAACGAAAAGCAAAAACAAAAGAATTAATCAATAAATTATTTTATTATATTGTGTTTATCCTATTTTGTGACACATGATCTAGAAGAAGTTTTGAAGGATAGGCGTGAAAATTTGTATTCCTTGTCCTCTCTCACACAAACCGTAACCTACGCCTTTGCAACTAGGCGTAGGTAAATTTAATTTAATTTTTGGATCTGATGAACTGTTAACAACATTCTCTGATATCTCATTTGATCTGATGGAAAGAATAGATGTGGATGCGAGCATAAGTCTTTTCTTTACTCACACACCTTCATTCACACTCATCCTAGTATTTCGAGAAGATTTAACTAAAGGATGGTGACGAAATATGTTCCAAAACAAATAGAAAAAAAAACAGTCTTCCTATGATTAGCAATAGTAGTCACAAAAATATTTCACAGGGATTGTGCAAGAAGTTTGTCTAATATATTCAACTTACATCGAAATAAAAAACTCCACATTGGTAAATAATTGAAATAGAATGCTGCATCACCATAAGCTGGATATGATTTAAATGTACAAAATAATGCACATAAAAGCCAAAAAAGAAATGTTGAATCATGTCTAAATGAAAAAGAATATCATAATTAATTAAAATTATTCAAAAAAAAAAATGAAAATTACCTTAATCGTATTGTAAATGGAAGTAAATAAAGTAAAAGAACATGCATTTGGAATGTCCAAACAAATAGCGAACGAAAATGATCAAACATTTCAGTAAAAAAATACCAAAATATTCCAATATTTGGTGTATAATCTGGTACATGAAAACTAATTAAATATATATATGAAATAAATATTTTAAAATAAATAAATATCAAAAACTCACATAAAACTATATGTCGATTCAATAAATGACCATGATTGATGATTAAGAAAAAAATTTAATCCTAGTATACCAATACTAACAATAACAAATAAAATTATTATAAGAAATATACGAATTAATGATCGATTATTCTAAATTATAACAAAACAAATTCAATAATATTCTTTTTTTAAAATTCTTTAAACAACATACAGCATTAGTTTTTGAAAATTGAAGTAAAGCTGGTGCAATTAAAATAACTGGATAAAGTGAAATTGAACTAACCAAACATAATGTTACTATAAATGGTAACAATTGATCTAAATAACAAAAATTTTTGAATATATTTTTCATTAATTAAATCAAAAATTGATCGTACATGTCATAAAGAAATAAAATGTCATTGTCAATAATAGATTATGAAAAACAAGACTTGATTTAGCAAGACATGTACCAATAGACAATGGATTTATCATTGAACTATATAATAAATCAATAAAAAGTAAATGAGGAAAAACAAAAAAAACAAGGATTTTTCACTATCATCTTACCAAAGTAAAACAGCATAAGCACTCTTATGAATATTTCCTTTTGTTAACCATAATAGTTGGCTATCCCTTTTATATGACGCTTTTTCTTTAGTTTCCTCATTGAACTATGTAAAAGAATTTTGAAAATTTATTTGAAATAGAAAATTTTACTTACAAGTTGTATTAAAACTCGATGTGCTATTTTATAAGTAAGTATAGCACTTAGAAGATCAGCTGCCTATTTACAAAGAAACAAATGCAATAATATATATTTGAAATACATCAACATATGAAAAAACATACAATAAATAAACCTTCAACATGTCCATTCGTTATTCCATGTAATTTTGAATAGAAGAAAAGTGAAAGTGGTGTCTAAATTACAATAAATAATATTGATCAAAATTAACAGTATTAGATTAGAATAAGAAAATGATATTTTTTTAGAAAAATAAAATATTTCTATGAATGCCAGATTAATGAAATCATTGCTTACGATTTGCTTTATAAATTTAACAAATGAATACTTAAATGAGGTAATAAAAATAAAAGGAATATTCCTATTTTTCAGTTATCTTGAGACATCAAGTGATGTCTAGTGGTAGATTCAATAGCTCAATATTTTCTCTACTACTAATACTAACTGTAGCTCTGGACAGAAGGTCGGTCTGATGTAGAGTTCTTGCGCTCAATTTCTTAAGCCTCCCCATAAAAAGTAACTAGCCACAAGAGAAATTGTATGGTACATCGTAGTCAGCAGTCTGCTATTGTATGGGTGACAGAGATGTCCATCGCGGCGCTGCCGCTGTCGCGGTGGCGGGTAGCGGTGCGGCAGGCTCCTTTTAGAAGACATTGCCAAAGCTTCATGAATTTGCCAAAAATTGAGTGTCCACAAACGTAACACTCTAAGACTCAATGAATCTCATCGATTAGTGACANATTGAATAAACTATCGTTATGATTTATTTCGTTGAATCAAACGAAATAAATTCGTTTTCTTTAATAATATTAATATTTCCTAAAGATGCTGAGTTTGAAGGTTGAGCGAGTTATTTACGACTATCGTTTTGAAATCATTGTTTAGCGGTATATTTTTTTTTAATAGAAGTGGTATTATAAGTACATACCAGTGAAATTAAGTCGCGATCGATTTTCTGGTAACTAATGAGGTCAGTGCTTAAAGTGATTAATTACTATGGAGTCTGCACTGTGTGTGTATTGTAAATATTCTAATGAGCTATGAATACCCTGAAGAGAGTTCCGATCCTTAGTTCATTGCTGATAAGATGTTGCATTTTTACAGTATTTTTAAGTCAACACAGTAATTCCTCTCAGAGAAACAAGAGCAATTCGTTGTCGATTTTCGACTTGAAACTTTGCACAAAGACAGATCTTAACGAGAATAATTTATTGTGAAAGTTTCAAGTTTTTAGCTTACTCTTTTTCTGAAATAAGACCATCCGAATGTGCTCATATACGTATATGCGCAGTTTAAAATAAAAGTTTTTTATCGTAGCTGTATCTTACGGTAGAAACAACGAAATAATCTGAGACTTTCATAATAAATCATCCTCATTGAATTGTGTATTTCTGGAAAGTTTCAAGTCGAAAAACTAACATTATTTTTTAGACAATAATAAATTAAAACCGATTTTTCGGCAAATAATCTATTATATTGATAAAAAATAATTGATATCAATTAATTTCAAAAATAATCAGTTAAAACCTATTTCGTTTAGAATAATCTAAATATAATTTATTGAAAATCAAATCGATTTTAAATTGTTTTTTTTCAAAATCTAATTGATTTATATGATGATTATACCGTTTCAATTTGAAGCACTTTATATAGGAGTTGTAAACCTTACTACATTTAGGTGGCTTCAGTTCAGTAACAACTTTACAATTTGTAAACACGAACAATTCAAAAAAAAAACAATGGAAAGTTATAAGGTTTATGTTCGAAGTTAGAAAAACAAACCACTTGTGTTCAATAACTATGATTAGAATAGGTTAACGGGTAATAGTAGATTAAAATAGTTTACAACGTAATAACGGATAAAAATAGATTGAAAGGTAATAATAGATTACAATTGACGAACAGATAATATATGACCCATGTAACAAAAAATCAAAAAAAAAGTCTAAGTATGATCGTTTTGTTTTTTTTGTGATTAAAGATTGATTAAAATAGTACTATTTCCATCAGATTTTTAATCATAAAAAAAAAAAATCATAACCAAATTTGTTTTATACAGGTAGTGTTCCGGAGAGGAACTACAGCATGGAGTTAAAACATACCATAAAAATGTAATGTCTCAGTGGCAAGAAGCCAAAGATTCGAGCAGTTATCAACGTATTTATCGTTCATTAGGGTCAACAAGATGTAGATAGTTCTCGCCTCAAAAGTGACTAATTATTTGGAAGACTATTCCCGTAAGAAGACAAGTGACTTTTGATGAAGCTAGTAGACTATAGAAAAAATCTTAAATTTATAAAAACATTTTTTTCTTTCCTGTACTGTATGTTAACAACATAGATTTTTTTTTTCAATTTTGTTGATCACCTTGAGAAAAAGATCATGTTTTACTTACTCAGCAAGTTTTTCTGCAAAAAAAGTATTGATTTTCGTTGCTTCTTTTTCACAGTACTATATAGAAAATTATAAAAATACACATAGAATAATAATTTATTTTAATATTCTACCTGAAAAAAATGTTCATCAACACGTAGAAAAAATTGTTCACGAAGAACATTATCACTATCATCAACAAATGGTTGTGCTTTAGCAACTGCTTGTGCAAGTAATTCTTTCATATCATCATATCGAATATATTGACTATTCCATTCTGGTGTAACATGTGCAGATAAATGTTCGGCAAATTTCATGTTAATTTATATTATTTTCACAAAATTGGTCAGCAAATATCATTAGAAAATGTTGTCTAATGAAGAAAAACAAACTAATAAATCAAATGTAAGAAAAGAGAATAACGTTTAGAGAGTAAAAGGGTTATTTAATAAAAAATTGTTTTTTTTTTTTGTCTTTCTATAATGAAAGGCAAATGATATTCATTTACATATGTACATGACCAAGATAAATGAATAGCATTATAGAAAGAAAAATGTCGAATATGAGAAAGAGAATAAGAGTATACGTGTAACAGATAACTCGTATATCTACTCTCTGCACTTTTCGGACAATTGCAAACAAAAGAAATCACTGAAGCAGCAAAATTACAAAACCTACCTTTTCTATCATCCAATAAAATTTCATATTACTTATCACGTAATAAATATCTGAAACAGAAAAACAAAAACAAGATGTTTTATATTCTTTAATAATATTTCATATTAATTAGTTTTCTTTTCGTGTTCTATTTGTTTTTCTCATCTTCTCCATAGTTTTAAAACTTTATCTTTTCCACCACTGGCAACTTTTTGTCCATCTGGACTATAATCCACAGCATAAATTTCATCAGCATGACCGGGTAAATCAAATAAAATACAACGTTTTTCAATATTCCAAATTTTTAATGTACTATCAGCACTACCTGATACAAGTAAACGTGAATCAGCTGACCATGCTATTTGATAAACAGCTTGAACATGTCCACGTAATGTTGTAAGAAAAGCACCAGTACGACTTGACCATAATTTAATTGATTTATCAAAACTAGCTGATGCTAATAGACGAGTATCAGGTGAAAATTTAACATCATTTATTAATTGTTGATGACCTGTCATACGTGCTAATGGTTTTTTATCTGTTTCTGGTTTCCATAAATAAAGTGTAAAATCATCTGAACCAGATACAAGTCTTTCACCACCATTTGTATCAAATAATTTATAAACATTTTCATATCTTTCAAGTGCCATTGTTTGTAATGTAACATCATCAAAATTATCACTATCATTACTTGCATTTTCTTTTGATGGTTCATAAAAACCTGTTCGTAAAACATAATCTGTTGATAATGCAAGTGTATTTACCCAATGTGAATGTCCTTCTAATGTACGACAAAGAACACCATCAGTTGTACGCCAAACTTTTATTGTACGATCTTGTGATGCTGAATAAAGTAAATTTTGACCACCCCATTTAATACATGTTACTGATGCTGTATGACCACTAAGTGTGAAGATAGTTTTAAATAAATGTGTATCCCATATTTTAATTGTTGAATCTTTACTACCAGAAGCTAATAAACGACAAGAACCATTTAAATGTAATGGTTGCCAACTTAAGGAATTAATCCATTGACGATGACCGGATAATAATTTGGTACCTATAGAAAATAAATTAATATATAATTAAGTAAATAAATATATTCGAAAAACAAAAAAACAATCTTTTATCTTTTAAAATTGAAGAGAAACGGATAATTATGCATATTATAAAAATCGCCTATGTTTGAATGACTAATCGCAATTCATTAACGATTTTCAACACATCATATACATAATGATTTCATGACAACAGCAAAATAACTGAATAATTAAGTAATGCAGTTTATTTCCATATAACGGGTGGCCCATAAAGAATGGCGGTATCAGTATTTCGTGAATATCTCCCTCAATTTTCATTGCGCAGGCTTCAACCTTTATCTAAAAGACGCGCCATTCAATTCTCTACAAAATTATATGAAAAGAAACTCTTTCGATGAATAGCTGAGAAATCATATCTGGTCAACACTGCAATGCTCCAAAGAAGCCCACTTTCAAATCACTGTTTTTCGTTTTTACAATGTTGCGTCGCTCTTTGACCAGATTTTAAAAAACCTGAATACGCCACTTTGTAGCATATGAGAAGCTCTATCAGTCAAGAGAATAATTTTTTTGACATACTNAGGTAATGAAAAGATAACTTCTCGTTCGTGTTATCTTTTCGCAGGGTCGAAATTTGGTCGTTCGAAGTTTTGACGATTTTGAAAACAAAAAGTGCAACTGTAAAAAAAGTGGTCTTATGCAAATTGTAGAGCTTTTCACGCTGCATCTTTTAGTATTTTATATGAAAAAAAAGTTCTTAGAAATTTTTCTATTAATATCGATAAGAAAATGTCGCGAACTTTTTTCCCATACCTTAGAATGATGATGATGTTTACAATAATATGAAAGAAAACAAGAAAATTCTAATTAATATTGCGAAATGTGACTCTTACTCTCACATCAGACTGATTTGACATGAAAATTTGATTTTGTTTTCAAACATTTCTAACTATGAAAAACTCACATATTAGACTTTGAATCTAGTAAAATAATCACTACTGACTATTATCTTACGATTAGTTCATCTTATTAATATTTAAAATTGATTAATACGCATAAATATTCATCAAGGTTATTTCAAGGAAAATTCCTTCATTCTTTTTTGTTTCTATTATTATGCATCATGACACATAAAAAGTACTTGCATGCTGCCAACGCAACACAGATAAACAGAACAGAAAAAGAAAATTCCAAGTATGGTTCCCGATAAATAAAAGGGAACATTATTTGTAAAATGCATGGGTAAAAATGAATTGTGAAAATTGTAAAATAAAATTATTATCTACTAATTATGCAGTGATTGATAATAATAATTACTGTTTAAATTGTCTTTCGACAAATTCATCGTTGATCAATAACAAAGAATCATCATCAAATCATTCGACAAAACAATCTTCAAATCATATAACGTCAAAAAAACAATGTCAAGTATGTCTTGATGATAAACCCAAAAAAGATTTTAAGATACAATATAGTAGTCGATGTCATCATAATGAACGTTCAATATGTGATAATTGTGTTTATCAACATGTTAAAGAAGCAATGAATAAAATGTGTACAGATGATGTTCATTGTCCTGAATTAAACTGTGGTATTGATTTTAAATATCCAACAGTTCAAAAAATATTATCCGATAATAAAGATAGAGGATTATTGGAGAAATATGAACGATTTATTCTTCACAGACAATTAGAGAAAATGCGAGAATTTATTTGGTGCGCACATGGATGTGGAACAGGACAATTAAATGAAGGTGGACATAAAAATAATATTGTTACATGTTTTAAATGTCATAAAAAAACATGTTTTATACATAAAACAGAATGGCATGAAGGATTAACATGTACTGAGTAAGTTTTCAAAATCAATTGAATTTCAAATTTAATTAATTATTTATACATTTTATTTAGATATGATACTGTAAAAAATCCAGAACTTCAAGCATCACAACGTTGGATTGTACAGAATTGTAAAAAATGTCCAAAATGTTCTTGTCGCATAGAAAAAGCAGATGGATGTGATCATATGACATGTAGTAAATGTCGTTATGAATTTTGTTGGTCATGTTTGGCTGATTATGAAGCTATTCGACGAGATGGAAATCATCGACATGATTCTAGTTGTAAACATTACGCACCCTATCATAGTTAATAAAATGAAAAAAAAAATCTAATAATCGTTTTTTTTTTTTATACTATATAACTTATTAAATAACTAAATATTGTATTAATATCTATTCTTTCATTTTATATTCAATGAATCGAGTTTATGTTCACTAGATACTTACATAAGTCGAAAATTACTTACAATATAAAGAATGTATTTGTAGGAAAAATATTCTTTTAATTTTACTATCTCAAAATTGTACAATTGTTTGTAGTCTTGTTCGATACAAAGTTAAATCGTTTGAAATTATCTTTGAGATATTGTTTCAAATTTAAAAAGAGTTACTAACTAGAGAAGTCCTTCAGCTGATTATACACTTTTGATTCACGACAACGTGTGTCAGACAGACCATAATGAGTTATGGCTATTGCAAAACGAGTTCGTGCTCTTAGTTTATTGCTGTCGAGATACTCCATTTGTATGGTAGGTGTAAATCAAAGCCGTGATTTTTTTTCATAGGAACATAGTAAAAATTGATTTTCGCATTTCGACTTGAAATTTAGTAAAGATATAGGTCTTACTGAGCATTATGTATTGTGAAAGTTTCAGACCTTTTCATCGTCTTTCTCTTAAGATATGGTTGTAGTTAAAGTATTTCTTCGGCATTATTTATATAAATTGCTAGATTCAATGTTCTTATATCAGGACAAAAGCAAACCAAAACAGCTGAATTTTTCACAACAAACTTGATTATAAGTAGAAATTGATGAAGTATAAAAAAATGATGAGCATGCGTTCTCTTGAGAGTTCCTCCTTGGATTATGACCGTTATACTGAGTTTTCCACTCGCTGCGAGGTATTTCAGAAGAACATAAATAAAGTTCTTTTTTTGGATCTGATATTTTTCCTACAGATACAGCTTAGAAACACTAGAATTCTTTAAAAGTTCAAGTTGAAATCTACATTTTCTTATCGAGATAATCGTATTATTAATATTTCGAAAGGTCTGTGGTGTCTTGAAAGATGTGATTTCAACAGAGTTTTGTCCAAATGTCTTGCACCAAGTTGAAAACTGAGTAAAACGGTCATACCTTGAAAAGGAACGTCTAACAGAATGAATCATTGTCAGTTTTTTAAATACCACATCAAAGCCTACTTATGGACAAAAGATGCAGTAAAAACGGCATGAAAACTTAAGTATGTTCTCTTGTTAGTAACAGTCAACAAGCAATATGATTTATTGTGAAGAGAAAGTAGAGGCATATTCCTTGATACATCCATTCTGTTTTTTCTTGGTTTGTGATAGTTTCCATATTCGCTACTCTTTTTTTCTTCATCCGCTTTTCTTGTTATTGTGTTAATGATTTTGTTTTTGTCTCTTCCTGTATTGATTCAAGGATGACAGTGTATTTCACTGGTTTATAATGATGATAAAAGAATGAGATAAATGTCATCATCATCATTATGCGATAGAAAGTTCTAAAATGGAGCATAACTGTTTGTGTTCTCTTCGAATAGCGATTTGTCAGAGGTTGCCCCAGTTTGATCACTGCTGTGATGAGGAACTACTGATTTACCACCGACATTTTTTTTAACTGTTTTAAATACTGCTCCAAGATATATTAAAACTGTTTTCTCAGTTTCAAGAAATAATTATTTCGCTACGGAAGTTGACGATCCTCCTGATTGTGCCTTTGATATCTGTTGCACTAGTTTTTGGGAATAGGATCGTATTTCAAACATTAGGTAACGCCCTTCATTCGTTGTCATCCATTATGATTCACAGAGAAATCATACGTCTCACACTTTCTTGCATAGCTTACGAAATAATTGAAATAACAAAAAAGAGCAAATAGTTAGATAAGATAAACGTCACTTGCGCTTACATTCTCTTTTATGGACCGTGTGCGTACCACTTCGTAATCTGTGTGTCTATTGACGTGACATTTCTCTTTTTGTTTTCGTCCACAAGCATACGTCAAGAACTTGTGAATCATTTTGATGGATCGATCAGATTCGTTGACCATTGAAAAAAACATAACTTCGTTAGTTCTACCGTCACCACCGACAGGTAATGCACGTCGAATTGAACTTGCTGGTATTGATCTATGGCTGGACGCTCGAATCGACAGCATTTTTGTGTATCCATCTACATTGAATCTCGATCGATTTAAAGAAGCACTCAGTCGTACTCTCTCTCGGTGGCCTCTTGTTGCTGGCCATCTTCTACTACTGGACGATAATCGGTATTTTATTGAAATGGCCGATCATGCGATTCCGGTTTTCATTGTTGACAATCATGACTTACCTCAATGGCCATTCGATTCGACTGTAGTAGTCGAGAAAGGTTCTTCGCTATTACAACCCTATTTCAGTTTTGTACAAACTCGAAAATTACTAAATTGTTCGCCATATGAGCCTCTAGTGCAAATGAAAATTACACACATCATCCAGAGTAACCAATGGGTTCTTGGTATCAGTTGGGCGCATATTTTGGGCGATGCCATTTCATGTCTACAATTCCTCAATACATTTTCACGTCTCTATCAACATTTGGAACCGTGTAAACCAGATCCAATATTCGAGCGACATTTGTGGCAAGAGAAAGACGTTGTTTCTTCATTCTTGCCCATGATGAATCTACTGGAAGATGCCTTACTACCAGAACAACAAACAAGCAGCAATTTTATTGACTACTTAGAAAACTATGCTCAAATTAATCTGCGTTTCTCCGGTACACAACTCGTACAACTGCACAAAATCGTTGGTGAAACGAGTGTCACTATTCACGATGCACTTACAGCCTACATCATTGTTTTATTGAATGCTTTCTGTTTGGATAGTGATGATAAACGCATCAAACATACGAGTATCATAGTGAATTATCGGGGTACCTCCGAATCGATTGCACCGTTGGGTCAGGTAGCCAATGCGATTTTTCGTATGTTATCGGAAGATTTTGATGATCCACGATCGTTATCGAACGTGGCTTTGACAATTCGTCGTTCAATCCATCGATCACGTGAAATAGACTTTCTGGAGTCTTATTTGGCTACGGCGGATTGTTTAATGAGACGAAACACTCGGGAAAAACGTCAATATCGTATGACTCGTTATGCGAATGAGATCGTTGTCAATTCGAATCTGAAATACGATTGGGCTGATGCTGTTGATTTCGGTTACACTAATCAATGTCGTTTCTACACGGCGTGGACGGGACCCTTTTATCTGCGTGTTTTTCGATTGAATCCCATCCAGAATGGTCATCAATGGATAGAACGAGATAAAAAAGGTGCTGAAGTGGCTTTTCTGATTGAGAAAGACAAGAAAAGTCGCTTGATGACCGCTTGGCAGTGTGATATCGACGAAAATTTTGCTCGATGGAAACCATCAAAAGATACCTTTTAATCGAAACGTCCTTTTCATTAGCCCCATTCCAAAGAAAAAAATGTCTGTTCACTTATGACAAATCATAATGCTTTTTATTTTGTATGATATTCATTTTTTTTTTCGTTTCCCAAACGCTGGATGATGATTTATTCTATGTGTAAACTGAACAGTTACGTATAACAGAAAGACTACATACGGAACTTGAGCTTCTCACCTTCAGGATTATCGCGCAAAACATGCATAATAGATATATTGTCCGCAAGAATATGATATGACGTCTTCAAATCAATAAATTTACATTAGTATACAAATGATCGACATATAAACCAACTCAAAAATGTTCTTAGAAACTTCACATTATTAAAGAAAAGAGAGGATAGTGATAAGTGTGGGTGTGAGTGTTTATCTCCATGGTAATGCCATCGAGAGAGATATTCTTAGTGTTTGAAACTTGAAATTCAACTTGTCACGTTTACTATTTATGCACATTAGATAAAATTCATTAGAGCTATTAATTATGTATCATTATGCAGTAGTACCTAGCTATAGATTATGAACACTTTTAATATAACAGATAGTTAAGAAGTACATGCGGCACGAGTACGTGATGTTAACATAATTCTCTGAAAAATCATTATGGTTAACTATTAGGTTTCGTTCAGTCGACAATGGTCTGTTTTCTATATGATTCAATTCGTTATCAGATGATAACCTGCATTCGCAACAATAATTCGACGTAAAAAAATCTCATTCAAAGCCTTTCTAAGAAAGTTGTAACCATGATACTTTCACAATGCATTATTACGTTGAATTTCTTTGTGAAAATAAGTTGTTGCAAAAACTGTAAGAAACTTGAATGACTAAACAAATGATAATTCTCTTAAACGAAAAAAAAAACAAACGAAGTATATCATAAAAGAAACATACTTTTTAACATAATAAACATCACAAAAACTCTCATTCATGTCAACTAAAACTATGCTGACTCTTTTTACATGATCGATAGAACTCATCTATCGAATTCTAAACTATCTCAATGATTTCAATATTTTATCTTCGACTAGAAATGTTGAATATGTCTTGTAATCCGGAAGAAAAAAATCCGGAAGACAAAAAATTCGGAAACCAAAAATCCGGAAAATCAAAAATCCGGAAAAGAAAAATCCGGAAGACAAAAAATTCGGAAACCAAAAATCCGGAAAAGAAAAATCCGGAAAAATCTCCCACGTCTTTATAACGAACAAGAAAGGATAGTAGTCTTTCATAACTCTTTCCTATTCTCTTCGTCAATCATGATCATCGTCTGTCGGGTACCATCCTCTCTGAATTCGATTAGGAGGGAATAATCGTTTCAACAAACGAATGAACAGCTGTCACCCGAACATGGGGACCTTCGTCACTTGCCTGCAANATGAGGTTTGCAAAACACTCGGCATCCTTATCGCAGTCGACGAACGCCTCGAAATCTTCTTCTTGTATGGCTTCGCCGAATTCTGGCACATCCAAAACCTTCTGCATTTCGTCCACGTCACTAATGTCGTCACTAACAAAAAACCCGGCTTTTCGAAAGAGTAGTGTCACATATCCAAGATTTTGGAGAAGTGCTCACTTCTCCCACAGGAGATGCGGCATCTTCCGCGGGAGACGCGGCACCCACACTCGGGAGATCCGGTGATTTTCTGTTGGAGATGTATCATTTCATTGAGAGATGCGCATCCCTCACACTGGGAGCTGCATCTCCCGCTGAAAATGCAGCATCTCCCGGCAGAGATTTGAGCACTTCTCCAAATTCCAGGATATGTGACACTGCTGATTAACGTTATGAATTTCAGGGAACAACGAGATGACAAAGAGCATGTTTAAATGACATCAAAAAGAGTTTAGAAAGATAAAAGAACATTCACAGTTCCACAATAGTAAATTACGAACATATCACTTGTTCTTTCCTGTCTTTCAGGACTTTATAAATAGCTTTTTTTAAAATTATGAATAAAGAAAAATATCATCATTATTGAAATCGTACGAATAATTTTGTCGTAACTGTATGTCACATCAACAGGGACATTCGGAGCATAATTTAGAATATTTGATAGTAAATTTACAGTAATTAAATTTAAAATCGATTGGTTTCCCCGCTCCTTTTTCTAATTTTCTCATCGAAATTTGATTCAATTCAATTTCATTCTTGTTTTGACATTTTCTTAATCTGTTGTTCATTTTTACTTTTTTGTATTTTGTGCTTTCAATGTAATGCACTGCGAATCGACAGGACGAACTTATCAAAACCATCAAAAATGTTCTACTTAAAACAATTTCTTCTGGAATACATTACAATAGCTATTCAAATGTGTATATTTTTCTATTAAATCAAAACCTATGATAGAAAAAATTCATGAAGTTCTTTCACGAATTCAAAAAGTAGTTCGTTTTCTTGACAGAAAGTCTTGATATCCTCCAAACTATTATTCGATCTGATTAAGACGACAGCCAGACGATAAGTAAGTTGACTGAAGCAAAGCCGTGGTGGTGGCATTTCAAAAGGTTGACCAGAGAACTGATTAATCATTGACAATTCTTTATAGAACTGCTGGCATTCTTGCAACTCTCTTGTGATGTCATTATTCGATAAGAGGGTTGTCGCATAGTTTTTGATTGACTCTCGTAACCGCGAGCATTCATCTCTGGAAAAGAATTTCTTCAATCGATGTTGCGAATATTGAAGATATGGCTTTTTAGGCAATTCTTTGCTCCTTGGTGATCGTTCTGAAACATAAATTGGAAAAAATTGTCGCAGTCATGAAAATTCTCAATCTACAAAGATTTATATGAAAGTGAAATAATGCTGTTCAACAATCTTACTTCAATAGATCCGACTAACTATTTAAGCAAAAAATTGAAAGTAAAAACTTCTAGTAAGTTTTGTTTCTTCTCATTGGAACCTTCAATGAAATTTCATTTAGACGATGAGTGACTTATCTCTTTGCAGAAATATCGGTTGTGATAATTACCTTCTGTTTCATCATATGTATCAAGAAGAGCATGTTTGAGAAATGTAACAATCATTGCCAGACATGTTGCTTCCAACACAACTGACTTTATCTCTTTTGTGTGAAGCCAGAGCTTCAGAAGACAAAGCCAAAGTTTATAATCTCGATGGACACCGTCCCAATTGATAGATCCTAGAGGTTTGAAAGCGAAATCAACGCAGCCCAAAATAAAGCCTTTCCTTTTGCTTTCATCGAGATCAACGAATTTAGCAAGCAAAGGCAAACCATCAGATTGAATGAGTTCAAGTGGATTGTATGTTTGTTCATTAAAAATAACAGTAGAAGCAAGATTTGTACTGTTTGATTTCGAATAATCCCATTTGAGAAGGATGTGACACATTGGTAGCAGTAAATTAAAATGTACTATATTAGTTCCTTGCCAAAGGTGTAACACTTGTCTGGTAACGAGAATATCAATAACAGCACGATCAAGCTTACCATTAGTGTAGAGTTCATTTAGAAATTCAGGAATTTCATTGCCATTTTGTGTCAATAGTGGTGTTTCGGACGAAAGGTTGACATAACTTTGCATTACTTGATTGAATTCCAATTTATCTTCAGAAAACAAAGTGATTAGATTGTTATATGCTGTAGTTTCACCAAGTTCTTGAATGTAACGAAGTAGACGAAACTGGCAAATAAGTCGTCGACGTTTCTCGTCGTCTGAGTCGATATTTGCCAACCAATGATTGAATTGTCTTTTGTCAGATGCATTTATCATCGAAACCTGATTCTAGAAATTGCAATAAAACATAAATAATTTGATATACAAATGACAATGAAACAGTACCTGTAGAACTTCAAGATCAATAAAGTCAAAAGCAATAGTCGTTGCCCAGAGCGCCACACTTCGTTGTGTCATACCTTGGAAAACGTCTCTCATATGATAATATCGTCCTTCAAGTGTTGACAATGCCAGATCAGGAAGTGGAACGTATCCTTTCTGGATTTCGTAAAGGTAATAATCGGAATCACGTGCAACGATATAAGCATTATGTTTGCGAGCCATTTTCACAATCGTAGGATCGGCTTCGCCTGAAGATACGTATACTTGAATTTCCAAGTTATGTAGAATAAGTAAAAATTCGTCACGGAGAAGAGACGGTAGAACACAACCATCATCATTGAATTTCACACTACTAGCTCGTTCAGGATCAGTTCGTCGATGTTCATTGGGTTTCGAAACACCATCAAATACGACGACTACATTTGCACATTTTTCTTTGAATTGTTTCAAACTGTTTCGCAATTTCTTCCAAAGACCATCGTAACCAAATTGTGTAGCAGTCACCCTTTGGGCCATCGATTTCGATTGATCTTCATTCCGTATCTGATCATAAATAAAATAGAAGAACGAATATCCATCGATAATAACATTCTGATTGGTTAGATTAACTGATTTGGATGGATTCTTTGTTGCAAAGAGAAAATCGCCAATGAGAGTAGAGAAGAACGGAATACCCATCTCGATGTAAATTTGTAACAAAACTCGTATAATTCTCAACCTCTTTATAATGATTATTATGGTATTGATATTGGAAAAAATTGAGTGGGAATTTTCACACTTTCACTTGTGTTACGACATCAAAGCCTGCAGCAACAATTTTTGTCGAGTCAACAGAACAAAAAAAAAAGTGCAGTTCTTTCGTTGTTTTCTTTCTGTTGTATTCTCTCGATGACGTTTGAATGAGTTTTTGCCATAAGATATTTTTTTTTGTCATAAGCTTACACAAACATTTCCAACTTAGTATTCTCTTGACTGAAAGAAAAAATTCTATTGGCAAAAACCATTGAAATACATATGTATATTTGTCAAAATCACTCGGAGTCGATCACTAGAGGAACTTGTACATTGAATAAGTCAACTGAGTTTCTTTTTTTTCTTAAATAATGATTATTTAAAGAAAGGATTGGCATGTAAATTCTATTTCATTTTATTGTAATTGGTTATTTTTGTATGCCTTGTTTTATAATTTAATTAGTAGTCTTTGAAATTCTTATGAAGACTTGACCATGGAAAATCTCACATTTGGATTTCAAATAAGAATATTTCTGTATAATTTCAGTTAAAGTAATTGATACTAAATCATCCAAACTCGAATCTACTAATAGTTTCTAGTAGTAGTAAAATTAGGACAGACTATCGGATATGATCGAACTTCTGTTTCGCAATAGCAATTTAGTAGTTTGTTTCAGAAAAGATCCAATGAATACGTCGGCTAAGCTCTCTATTATTTATATGACATGCTTTAAAAAAATTTTACCAGTGTGATCACATTTGGGACGAATATATTGCATTGATGTATTAAACTCCACCAATACCTAATGAATAAACTGAACAATTTTCAATAGGTTTTCATTGGCTTTCATTAATAGTTGATACTCATATTCTCTTTTCATTTGAAATCATATTTATCTTTTTATCATTGACATTTTCTGCACAACACTTTCTCAGCTTAACAATAAGAAACAATATTATGTAGAATATTGAAAAACATATTACGGCTGATGTGAATTGAAGAACAATTATGACATGCTCGTCCAGTAACTGTTTCCTTCGACAAATACATAGGAATATCAAAAACGTTTTACACGTCGAACGAAGAAAGTCACAACTTTGTGACGGCTGATGACGAAATTCTAACTTTATCAATCAGTGGAAGTTCGATACAGTATATATGTATATATGACTGATTAGCTGTGCTTTAAACTTGACCTCGAATATTGAATGCTCCTTTTGTTAATATACAAATAATGCTGAAATATTTCGATGTAAGGAAAAAAAAGTATCTTTTTGTTTTATTCTTAATCAAAATTTTGATTGTATTCCTAATTAGAAAATTAATTAAATTTAACTAATAACTTGGCACATCTTTAAGATTCTGATCCAATTCTGTCTTTATTAGTTTTGTTTAAAGTTCTGCAGAATGTTTTATTCAGCAGTGAAATTCAATCATAACAATCGAAAACTCTTTAACTAAAATAAGATTAGATAACTTATTTGAGTTACAACTATCATTTGTTATGATAAATGAAGAAGTATTTACAAATAAACCTTGTCAATTTAGAAGTATATGACACGACATTATTTTTAATGTTTTAGATAAATTATTTTGTATTATATTAATTTGAATTATTTAGGCATTCAGCAGTCCCTCCATTAAAAATAGTTCTTTCGCTAACATATAAAAATGCTGATGTAAAATTGTTAAGCCTTCACGATTTGAATGAATTTTGTGGTATGAATGTCAATCTTCTGATCACTCACATCAAACTCATAAACACCTACATGTACACATTCACCCACACACATCTATGCATTCAAGAGACAATAATGCGACCAAATTTTATTCGACACAGTCAAAGTCACATACTTGTATATGAACGATCTTTTAGTTGGCAATCTTTGCCAAAATAAATCTAACTCAAGTTTAAAAACGTATTTAAGCATCTAGCAAGCGAACTCCTACACTGAACTGTCTTTTGAATGGTGAAAAGTTGTAGGTCGCGAAATCGCTCCCATCTTCAATTATTCATCGTGCTTCTGTTCTTTCTGCTTTGAATACAATTATTTCAGATCATTGCATGTTAATGGTACTTGAATAATTTTACCCAAGGTACTGAAGTTGAGCATTATTTTCATAAGTGCTTGTATAAGTATTAATTGCTTTTCGACCAGCACCAAACTACTTGAATTACAGAATATGTGTGTAACCAGTAGGCAATTTCTATGCCAATCGAAACTGAATTTTTGTCCTTGGTCTTTAATAAAAAAAAAAAGTATTTTATAGCTGTAGAACATTCATTTTATAATCATAGACCCAAAGAAAACGAAGAATGAACGAGAATATTACAAACTTGTGTAAATATGAGTTGCCTATTAATAAATACATGAATCTTGAATTCATACATGCTAAGAAAAAACAAAATCGTCTTTATTGGCAATACCTGTTAGGCAATCAAACATAAAATCAAACATAAGTGAGTTTCTGGTGACGTGCGTCCTGTAAATTTACGTAAGAAGTGTAATTTGGACTAAAATCATAGAATAGGAATAAATATTACCTTCATCCATTCGTCTCTATAAATGTCCTTGATAAAAGTTTAAAACGACTTATTCACAACAAATGCGAATAATTTTTTTCTAATGTTTTTACTAATAATAATTTCAAACACGAAAGTGTTCGTTCCGCATTCATTGATCGGATTGTTTAGTGATGCTGAAAAAAGTAAGCTTTTTGCATCTTCAAATCATTATGCATTGTCTCCTTGTTTTTAATCGAGGCTTAACCCACAGTGAAATTACTCAACTTGGTATTAAAAGAGTTCTTGCTCGATTCTTTCTCAATACCCGACTAAAGAACAATATCGATATCGATATTGTAAATTTCACAGCTGAACATACCATTGTTTCACTTTATCGACTTGCTTATCCTCATTTGACTTTGGAACAAATAAGACTGTATTCATTGCCATTGAAAAGAATTATTGATCAAATCGAAGTGGAGAATGTGCTAATTGATTTGAGATCTTCTACGGAAAACTTACCATCAGCTCATTTCAATGCTGACTTGTTTGCCGATAGTAATCGATGAATTATCGACTTAAGCCTTTAAGTACCATGGCTCTGCCCGTCAGAAAAATTTCTATAAGCTATCATATTTAAGACATTCATAGTGTCGTATTAATATTTTTATTAAAATTTTAAAAAAATCTATAAAGTCATTTTTAGTCCATTCTATACTCCACCACAGGGATGGCGAAGAAATATTTTGGCCATCCTTGTGGGAGAGTACGGGTGTAGGTCAAAATTCAATTGAGAGCTGTCGCAAAATTAAACTTTGGAATATCACTAGGAGACACTCCTATCTTGACTCCAATACGGAAAATCGAAATATTTTGGAGACCACAAAAAGGCATTATCCACTCTCCTCCTGTTTGGAATAGAAGTGATATTTCAATAACTCATCAAGTTTACTGTCTGACTCACCTCATTAGGGTTATAGATCTTATACAAATGTATGTATCAAAATCTCTTCTATGTCATAGAAAAAGACACACTTCGATATCATTTCGCGTTCACAAGTTATTCAAAAATTAAGACACTAAAAATTGTCCATTATTCAGGGCGCTGGTACTTAAAGGGTTCGAATACGTGTACTGGTACCTATACAGTACAGATTATGGAAGTTCGCCGCTAGCTACGTCGGTTTTATGCAACTACAGCCATCTATTGTTTGGTTGAAACCAATCTCATTCAGATAAAACTATGGCTTGGCTTTTAGTATTATTTCTGAAATGATATATTGGTAGTCTACTAAAAATTCATCAGATTTACTATCTGATAGACTTTATGAGTGTTATAATTCTTACTTGGATATATGTATCGAAGTGTCTTCTATGCCATAGCAAAAACCGTACCTCGATATCGTTTCGCGTTTGCGAGTTATTAAAAAATTAAGATGCTTAAAAAAAGTGTCCTGAATTCAGGACAGTGGTATTTAAAGGGTTAAGAAGAAAAAGTAGATCATTCTATAAGATACGAAAGATAAACATGATTTATCGGTAGCACAAAAACAAATCGCCAATATTCTACATACACTTCAGGAGGTTTACGCGCATTCCAATTGGATCGAAATGGGAAAGACTGAAATAAACAGTCGTATAGATCTTCATGAGAATATAGGTCGAGTGGCTGATAGAAACCAGCCAACATGTATCCGTACTAGATGTACAAAAGTTAGTGAGTGAATGTGTATGAGTACTATAAATATATCATAAATTACAGTTTTCGTTTTATTTAGAATCTATTACAAAAATATATGCCAAATCTTGCCCATTGAAATATTACGATTGAAGGAATAATATTGTATCTGAAATCAATGAACATGGCTTGTTGACAAGTGGTTATGTATCAGATCAGTCCAATGAAGAGAACGAATATCGTAAAGAAACCGA